CAACAAAAAAAGAAAGACTGAGATCCATATATATGCAAGTTTTTCCCATTTTGGAACTGTGTACTTAATTATCTTATATGATTAATTTAGAAATATTGAGATAATAAACATCTAGATAGTAATTAAAATAAAATTCACAAATGAATTATATTACACACACCTACTTTTCCAATCAATGTATGAAACGTAAAAGTTATGTTAATTAGTGAATATTATACTTGTTTCATCTCCGCTTGTCACCTTTGCGATTGCATCATTGATTTCGATTTTAAGCCACTACAAGGGTGTGGAGCGTAGCATCCATTCAGTGAGACTTGTTACACGGCCACCACTTTCTTGCATCCAATACCTGTTTGGCAATGCAAAGTTTTTTACAGCAGTGAATACTCAGCTTTCATCAGGCTCATACTGTCCGTCCCAGGAGGCCGAGAAAGGCTGGAGAGCTTAACACGAAGTTAGACAAAAGCTGAACTCGTGCTCTGGTGAGGGAGATCGGGTGTCTAACTGGTAATACCTACAATGAGACACAGTTAACAGTTTTTTGTTACAGGCAGGGACAGACAAAATAGCGAGGTAAAAAACGGTCAGCTCAATCCGCACCGTTTAAGTTGTCTGTGATCGTTGAACAGATATTTATTTTTCTCGACGCTCTCTCGATCCTCGCTACCTAGGTTTTGTGTTCTGCGCGAGTGCTTGACGAAGAATGCGAGCTACTGCTACTGCTGAACGGGTAAATGCAATCTCTGCCAAGGAAGGGGCCGCTGGGAACGGCTTGGCGCGCGGCTCATGTGGAGCGCCGGCTTGCCAGGAGCGAGATAAGCGCGGCAGACATCGCTACAACTGTTGGTAAGTCTTATCTTCCGTCATGTTTGCGCTCAAAGTCGTGGTTTTTGCGCACTCGAGCTCAAAGGCGTGGGGTTTTGGCAGATGAAATCCTTCGCTTCCCCGACGTGCCACTGTCTTTGAGAGTGTCCGCTTATCTGTTGCTGGGCGTGGCACGCATTTACTCTAGGAAGGTTGTCTACCTCCTGGCAGTCTCCAACGAGACCTGGGAGAAGGTCAAAAGGCTGAGCATCAAAGCTAGCGAGGCTTCTCTACTGGAAACTGAGCGCCTTTGTGTGGGCTATGCTGGAAACTTGGCTGACTTGCTCGATCCTTTTCGGGAAGAAGAGGTTGTAAACGCAGTACACAGGTACGGGAATATGATTGGCAATGTTGCACTGTTAACTTTCTGTCAGCGTTTGTGCAGCAATGTCGATTTGCACGTTGCACTGGCAGAGCACATTACTTTGCAGCCAAACGTAGATCATTTTGGATCTTACAACACGGAGCTAGATGGTGAGAACTGGCTTTTTGTCTAGTCGTTTCTAACTTTTTACTTTACAGAAAGATTTCCTGATGGTGATTTGCCATTCGGCTTCGAAGTTGAGGAAGTCATCTCGCAATGGTATGGTGTGATTCCTTTCTTCAACGAGAGTAACGTACCCTGTACTGCAGCCAAGAGAAAGAAAACTTGGATGAATGGTCCGGCATTGTGGACGATGGAGTATTTCAGCCGCAAACACCAACAAATGACGTCTTGGCAGACCATAGGGAGCGAGCACCTTACAACCTTCTACGTCCAACGGCAATGCGGTCCTTGGCTTCGATCGTTGATGAGATAGCTGATCAGCAAATGCCAGGTGCTCCTTTTCAGACTGTGATAGAGAGGGAGAAGGCCATTCGCGCGCAAGACTGCGGCTATTTTTCCGAAAAAGAATCAGGTGAGCTACTCTAAGTGTAAAGGCTCGTGACTGTCTTTTATCACAGAGTTGGCCTTCGCTCCAAGGACACCTCAGAAACCATGCACTGAGATACGCAGCAACGTCAGGACAAGTAACAAGCGGAAGCGGCTTGCGTTTGATATGTCGACCATGCTATCGAACGAGTAAGCCGAGTATCACAAATTCGTTTACAACTCTGACTCCCGGGTTTTGGTAGGCTGCTACAGAACCAGCTCCGTAGCACAAAAGACCTGCTAAGGCCTCGTAAAAGAGCCGATTGCTGTTATCGACGAATGCTTCTTATGCAAAACATGACTGCTAGGGACCAGAGGTTGCTTCAGCTGCTAACTGGTAGCCGGCTGCCAGCGAGCAACTATCAACTGAGGACTTACGGTGTTTTGGAACGCGAAACAGAGAGAGGTATTAAGCTTACCTTCCAAGTTCATAAGAACTAATTTTTAACAAACTTTTAGAGATCGCCGCCACGAAAAAGCTTGCTGGAGATAATCTGAACGGGGAAGACAATTTGAACGCTTCTATAAACCCAGCTGTCGACTCTGTAGCTGATTTACCCGTAAGCTGCGTGATTTTGTTTCATTTTTTTATGAACTCGGTTTTTTTTCTGCAGGACTTTGATTGCCATTTTGAAGGTGATGATACTTTTTGCACTTTCCACTTCACCATTTCGCTGATCTCCTTACAGAACTTGTAGACGGCCGTGACTCCCAGGCTCCAGACAGTGATGTATGCTCCGGACGGACGAGGTCAGTGCTTATCAAGTGGTAAATATATTCTCAATGATGTTTCATGTGACCAGGGCAGTAGCACTTATGTTGGAGAGGCGCAGCAAACAGGCTTCGAACGCGAGTTTGTCGCTGGAACAAATTCTGACGGGAAAAACTAGAAGAGTTGCAGCTTGCATGTTTTATGACATTCTGGTAACCTTGTGTATTTTCTATTCGCGACTTGTTTCTGACAGCGTGTGGAACAGGTCCTCGGGTCCAAACAGTCTCTCTTAGTGAAGCAAGCGGTTCCATTCGGTGACATAATAGTTAGTGCATCCATGTGATTTTTTTTATCACTGCCCTGGTAAGTGATTTTCTCCTGGATGCGTGAATGACTGTAGTATGCTCAACGAAAATTTAACAAGCTTGATTTCTCGCCTTTCTGATGTTCGAGCATTATGATCTTCAAGGTATTGCTTGCCTCGTCGTATCTGCATTTATACCAGTGTTTTTTTTTTTTTTTTTTTTTGTTCGTTTGTTTGGTTTTTAGATATTTTGTTTCAGGAATAGAGAGCTCCGGGTGCTACTTTATATTTATACTGTCAATGGTGCTTCTTCCTCAACGAGCTCGGGTCTCACGGCGAGTAAAGTACGTATCCATTGGTTTTCTTTGTAACTGATTTTCTTTGGCACGTAGGACACCACTTGGCGCCTGCGTGTGTAGAGCACACCCTAAATACGAAGAAAAGATGATCCGAGCGCCGTTTCCAGGAGGATTGGGCAGCACGTTTTGTTCAGTTATTTGTTTTGGCAAATGCGCGGCGGGGAGACACACGAGCCTCTGCCAAGCATACCAAGTAAGTTTGCTCTTGTCCTTCTGTTGGTTTTTTATGATTTTTTGGTGATCGCGCAGAATACATTCACCCCAACGGAGAGAGTGAAGCAGAGAATCCAGCACGGCTTTGAAAAATTCAAGCAGGAGACTTTCTTGTACGCCAGACAAATCTGAATCCCTGGACGGTTTCAATGCCAACTTCCGAATTTGTGCTGTGGACAGGAGGCAACCAAAGCTGTTTCGCGAAGTAGCGGTGAAGCAGACTCCAAAGGTAAGCGCTGTCTGGTCTTAAGAACGCTCGAAACGGCTCATCTCTTATATTTCTTGTGCAGTTCATGGTCATTGCCTGCTCCGACTCGAGAGTATGTCCCACGACAGTTCTTGGATTCCGGCCAGGCGAAGCATTTGTCGTCCGCAACATTGCTAACATGGTTCCTCCACCAGAGCAGGTACTCTGTAATTTTCTTGGTTTGGATTCCAAAGCATGGTTGTGAAAATCCGGGCAGGCTATGATCTATCCCGGCACTAGTGCAGCTATTGAATACGCCGTCATGGTTCTCAAGGTAACCATTTTCCGGCAAATACAAGCTTTGCCAAACCGTCCATAGGTGGAGAGTATAATGGTGATCGGGCACAGCAGGTGTGGTGGCATCCTTGCTCTCATGACTCAGAAGGAAAATGTGAAACGGAGGTACTTACACACTCTCTCGCTTTGCTTGTTTCTCTCCTTTTCTGGCACTTCTGACGTGATTTTCTAGTCAGTGTTTTTGTTGAAGACTGGATCCAGATTGGGCTTGCGGCTCGTACCGCGGCTCTCAAGGCAGCAGCTGACAAGGACCTGGAACAGCAGTGCACAATGTGCGAAAAGGTTTGCTCTGCGACCGCTGCTCTTTCCCCGTTCGTCTGACGATTTCGTGCCAGGAGTCTATCAACTTATCGCTGTCAAACCTCTTGGCTTTTCCCTTCGTGCACGACGCAGTCATGAATGGCAACCTCACGCTCCATGGTGGCTACTACAACTTTGTGGAGGGCTCGTTCGAGTACTGGCTGTATGGGGCGGATGGGAAGACAGGTGCTCATTCCCGATTCTAATCAGCAAGGTATGTCACTAGTTTCATCGGTTTCTTTCTTAAGATGCTGTTGCGTTTGTGGAAGCTAAGGCGGTCGATCAAGCACTTGTAAGGGAGGAACGAGTTTACAGCACAAGGTTTTGTGATCGCATTGGCAAATTCATCTTATCCTGCTCAATATATTCTTTTTTAGCTCTTTTGGTAAATAAAAGCATACTTAAAGCTTGACTATAAAGTTGAAGGGTTGCCCTAAAAAGATGGTAGTGGAGGAGCCGGATGTTGTGATCCACGCTTCGCGCTGGTGTTGCCTCAGAGATCTTGCGTCTAGGGCTCAGAGGGTATACCAGGTTGAGCCTTTTGTACCAGGAAGATCTCCCGAGGAAGCGACAGTCGACTGGAGCGGTCTTTTTCCAGGTAGCGAGTTGAAAAGCACTAATCCGCCTCGAGGCGGTGATCTCCAGCCTCTGTTTGACTTCGATGAGCAAGGTATGCCCATAGCCACAGTAAACAAAGAAGCGAAACGGTGCTCTGGTTGCTGGGAGCAAGCGTTAAACCTTTGCTCCCAGGCCATGACCAAGCTTGGCACCACAGCACACCAGTTTTCTCTCCAGGAGCGCCAACAGCCAGCCTTGTCCTTGATCCATAAGGCACTGGAGCTTTTCAGGCATAAGCAGCAGGACAAGAATTTATTCCAAGTTTATGTTCTAGGTAATAGTTTGAGGAAAGTGGGCTTGATTACTCGACCCAGCGAGGAGGTGGTGTTGGAGCTCTTGAATCGACACCCAGTGGTAACGAGCTTGAGATGCGAGCAACTTGAAAAAGATGATGCCTTTGTGGATGACGGCGGTGGCAAGGCGTGGTATTGTAGCACGTACAACATGTACTGGATTGGGCAGTGTGTGGTGCTCCTGGGGTTTACTCCCACTAGATGGATTGTGTTCCACCCTAAGCACGGGATTTTCACGGTGCAAAGAGAGCAGTATACTGGCGTCGCAGAGTTCGTCTTAGTGCCCCTTTTCTCGTAATTTATTAGCAATCTTCTGTAATTTCTTTTTATTTCAAGAAAGGGAATAGGTGTCCCAGATCTTGCAAAAGTAGCTCACGTCCTGATGTAAACGTTGGTCTTGTCTTACAAGAGCTTGATCGCGTTTGTCTATATGAAACTTCCACAACAAAAAAACAAGCTTTTTGGCATGAAATTGTCAGACGAATGGGAAAAGCAGTTCCCAGCTGACTAAGGAAACGCATCCATGCATGTCCTGGTTGTTTAGTCGGCTTGGGTTTGCAGCCCTATCAAATCCCTGCGAGCTCGTTAAAAGGTTTTGCTTCTTCTGGATTCTTACAGCCATACGTCATATATCACTGTTGAGATGCCATTCTTACGAACGAGAGAAAAGAATGACGTGACTCACTCGAGAAATGCTTCTGTCACCGGTGGTGATCGTCCCAAGTGACAAATGTTCCCCAAAGCGTCTTACTGCTTGAAGGATGTTCCCTCCTTAGAAGAAGGTAACGAAGAAGAAGAATCCTCATCAATCAACCAAGTCGAAAAAATGAATGTTACCAATACTCGTAAAAGGCGCAGGAACGAGCAAACACCAGGTTGCCTCGGCAGCGAAAGACGTGTTCTATGGTCGTGACAAAACAAATCCCGCTAGAAAATATGCAAGTGAAAACTTACATGCAAAGCCATGTTTACCTCTTGGAAACTTCTGATGGCGATTGAGTCAAGAGCTTCGGGAGGCTGCTGGCCGCAACAAAGAGATAGCTAGCCATCCAAGTCCCCGGACCTAGGCGGAAAACGCAAGGATCATCCATCACCACAGTCTATACGCTATCATCCACAAGACAAACCGTGGTTAAGAGTGCTTGGTTCACATGATCAGTGAGACCAGATGGAGCATTGTGTACGAGAGGATGAATGGAAAGACGATAATACGAAGCCGTGACGCGGCCGCGCACAACTCTGTCACACAGAGGAAATAAAAATCAAACAATCACACGATCAAAAGAACAAAAGGAAATGCGGCCTCCAGAATCTAGCCGGCTTGACGTGGGTTTGGAGCGCTGGAGGAGGCGTAGGGAATCGAGGGCTTCACAATCTCCATCTCCTGTCGCTCCCTGGAGCTGTGATTCTCCTCGCGGAGAGTGCTGCTCTCCTGACGGTCGGCGTACAGTTTTCTGTCAATCACGCATTGATTTTTTTCTGACATAAGAGAATGTGCGATAAGCACGTTCTTCTCATGGGATCTTCGCGAAGAAACGTCTCGTGTGGGATTGGGATGATCTAAGTTTGTGAGTGTATACCGAAAGTTTTTGTGGTGTTCTTTCTCCCTCTCTTGAGTGTTTTTGTGGTTTTTGTGGATTTCATCTTTGGTTGCAAAGATGGTTGTGCGCGTAGAGTCCGTGTCCACGATCGTTCCAGCGGTCCCAACACCGCAGCCCTGCACTCTCTGGCTTTGCAACTTCCAAATCCAGGTCCTGGGCGATAACTACATCAAGCAAGTTTACTACTACCCAGCTGCTCTGGATCACGTAAGCTCTTTCGATTCGCTGGTGGCGAGCTTGAAGGACTCGCTCTCCCGGATCCTCGTCCCGTACTATCCTCTAGCCGGGAGGCCCAGGATCGCCGGCCTCGACCGCCCCATCCTCGAGTGCAACGACCGCGGCATCGAGTTCGTGGTGGCCTTCGCCGATGCGAGCTTCGGCGACTGGGGCAATTCCATGAAGCAGTGCTCCATCGAGCAGGAGCTCAACCCGGCCCAGACCGCGATCACCGATCCGGAGAACTTCCCTCAGCTCAAAGTTCAGGTAAATCGTTTGACCGGCTTTGATCGGCTTTGACTACTCTCCCAGGTGACCAAGTTCCGGTGTGGCGGGATAGCTCTGGGCCTCGTCACCAGCCACACCCTCCTGGACGGCTCCTCGTTCTTCCCCTTCCTCAAGGCCTGGTCGGAGCTCCACCGGGGATTCCCACCGCCGAATCCACCGCCCAGCTTCGACTCCAGCCTCCTCAAGGCGCGGGATCCGCCCTGCGTCACCGTGCCGGTCCGGGACTTCGTTGCTGTGACCCCCGCCATCGCCGAGGAGATGGACAAGGCCGCCCAGGACTTCAAGCCCAGTTACCACGTCCGGGCATTCCACATGAACGAGCAGCAGCTCGCGGAGCTCAAGCACGAGATCGCGTCTGGCCCGTTCGCCTACGGCAGCAGCCCAACCTCCTTCGAGGCCGTCTCGGGTCTCGTCTGGAAGTGCATCACCGAGGCCCGTGACTTCGACGACTCGGTGACCAACACTTACATCTACGCGGTGTCCACCAAGGTGGGCAGAAACCGGTGGCAGCCACCGATGCCGAGCGAGTACTGCGGCACCTCCTCCTTCACGCTCTGCCTGCCGTGCGCCGTGGGCGATCTCAAGACCAAGCACGTCTCCCACGCCGCGCGGCTCTTCCACGAGGATGTCCGCAACGTAGGCCAGGAGAGGATCCAGTCTACCATCGACTGGATGGAGGAGACGCTGCGCAAGGGCCATGATATCGGGCTCAACGTCTCCCCACCCAGCACCGGGATGGGGATCTTCAGCATCAGCTTGCACTCGTTCCCGGTGTACGAGTTTGAGTTTGGGTGGGGGCGGCCGGCCCACTTCTCGATGGTGCTGGAGTCGTGGTATGGCAACGGGGTGATGGTGCTACTTCCCACGCCTCAGGGCGGGATGCGAGAGCGCCGGATTGTGGTGATGCTGCTCGAGGAGCAGATGAAGAGGCTGCTGCAAAGCGAGCTCTTTGCGAGGTTTACAACCCTGGACTGCTAGTTCCTCTCCGCACAGGAGCTTCAAATAAGATTGGCGAATGGTCCCCTTGACTCCATGGTATGGGCCCTGTTTCTGTGGTTTTCATCACGCAAGCTTTCGATAGAAATCAATGCACGAAGGCTACTTTTGTTTTTGGAGGTGCTGCTCTTCATGCTGTAGGAGAGTAAATTAGTTTGTTCCACGCAGATTGATTTCTCGCGGTCTTTGGATCTAGTGCTCCACTCTCATCTCCTACAACATGAAAATCCAATGCCATAAAAGAAAGGCTAGAGGGGATCAAGAATTTGTGTTGAAACTCTCACACCAGGTTCGCTCTTTCTTTTCGATTGCAACGCAAAAAGGAGCCAGTGACACTGCAAAACAACGAACTCTCAACGCGAACTCACTGATGTGGACAACGCTGTGCGAATATGAACAATCAACAATACTTAGGTTTAGGTTATCGTGTCTTTCGATTTGTTCTAATTTCTTGTCATGAAGAAGCCAAGTGACATGCTGGTGTTGCTCAACGACGATACGAACTGAAAAACGCCATGTCACAGCGTGTGCCATACTTGGTTGGCAACGTTTTGGAGAGATTGTGATCAAAGGAACCTGCCCAGCCTTCTGGTAGCACACCACATGGCCATTTATCTTTGCAGAATTACCTCATTATAGTGGAGTCAATCAAAAACTCCTGGCTAATGGTCTTTATTCATGCCTTTGACCATTAACATTTTTCAGGATGGAAATTTTTCAGTATGCAAGAGGTGTAGAAGGCAGAGTAAACCACTGGAAGTGTACCTGAGCTATGAAGAACCGGAGGCTAGCCGTGTTGCAGCCAGCGAGCGATCCTGGCAAACTGGCGTCGAGTGTTTGGAAGAAGCTGATGCGTCTTAACAGCAAGCCTCTCCCTTTCACAGAGACGAGGTAGGGGACTACAAAACTCGCGTTTGCGTCTCGGCTCCAAGGTGGCCACGTCCCCGAGTTGATCCAGGAAAAGGTTGTGAGTTTTGTGGAGAGATACAACCAGCAGTACACCAAGGAGACCGAGACTGCCCGTGATACTGCAACTTCAAAGCGAAAGGACGCAATGCTCAGGCACGAGCTCGAGTACTTGAGAAGCGGAAATGAGCTGGAGCTGTTGAGTCTACTCCCGAATGCCAGGGACGAAGAAGAACCCTCAGACAGAGCCAGAGGCACGACTGGACGAAGGCTGGACAAAAGGCTGGATGAAAATACTCAGGCACAAGCGATTGGACTGGAAGAAATTCCTCGGCCCTGGAAGAGGACACGAAGCTGCTCGTGCTCACGCCAGAAGGGACCGGCTTGGAAGTTCTGGAAGTGACGAGCCCGAGGTCTTCAAGCTCGGACAAACTCTTGAGTAACTGCTACAGCTTCCACAAGCTCGTCTCTGGGAATGTTTTTTGACATAACTACTGGACAAATTTTTGCAACTTTGTATATGTATTCATTTCTTTTCAAGGAAACTACTTGTGTAGATCGTCTCGTTTTGCCACTGCCAAAGCGTAACTTCCATCTACCCATCGTTAGCTGGCTCTGGAACGTTACCGTTGCAATCTCATGGCGTTCCAAAAACAAAAGGATGTTAGGGAAACCATAAAGAAAACTAAAGCCTCTCTCCTGGCGTTGTCCAGTTCTTTGAACAAACATTTTGGTTAGAACAAATAGCTCACGGACCTCTTAAACTTCGCATTTCGTTGAACAGAAAACATCCTAGTTAGACAAACCAATATATGAGTTGATTCAGGCGTCTTTTCTTGTAAATTCACGCTATGCACATTCCTTTGCCTTTGGAGTTTTCATGGTCGTCGTTTTCATTGTGGATTGAAGTTCTGGCCCAACGTTGTTTCTCGCAGGCTTGCATTGAGCGCAGCAACAATTAAATCTCTCCAATCTCGTAGCATTTTTCTTCTTGGACATAGTCTTAACATCACGTCACTTGTTTTTTTTCATGACAAGAGATTAGAACAAATTTAAACACACGCAAACCTTGAAGCTAAGTATCATCAACTTTTAATCATCGTTAGTTTTGTTCGTATTCACAAATTTCCCTTCGCGTTGAGAGTTGCTTGGACTGTTGCTTTGCACTTAGCTTGTTTGAGTTGTTTGATTGAGCATATCATCTTAGCTTGACTGTGTGGCTCCCTTTTGCGTTGAGCATAGCATCTTCTTGACCCCGTCGTCGGCACTCTCAATTGAAAAGAAAGAGCAAACCTGAATTCTTCAAACGTTGAGAGTTTCAACACGAGTTCTTGAATGCCTCTAGCCTTTATTTTATCGTTGATAATTCTAGAGCATACCTCTTGGCTCGTTGCAAGCAGCTTCGCTTTCTTGTCTCCAGCAAGTCTCTCTTGTTTCGTTGTCTTACTCTCTTGTTTCGTTGCCTTACACAAAGAAAAATAAATAAACTTACCTTTGCGAAGTGGAGGGGCTGGTCAAGGATCAACGACGGATCATGATCGTTGTTTTCATTGAGGTTTGACCATTGTCATGTATGTCTTCAGCTGGATTGAAGTTCTGAAGATTGCAGGTGCCTAACGTTGTTTCTCAGCTCGCAGGTCTTGCGTTGAGCGCACCAACAACATAACTCGAAGCACTGACAATCTCTCCAAAACGTTGATACAAAATCCTTGCGTTGAGCGCAGTAACAACATAACTAGGAGCACTGACAATCTCTCCAAAACGTTGATACAAAATCTCTCCAATCTAGTAGCATTTTTCTTCCTGGCACACGTCTTATCGTCATTGAGCTGTCACTTGGCTTCTTCATGACAAGAAATTAGAACAAATCCCCGTTGTTTTGCACTTTGCTTGTTTGAGTTGTTTGAGCACATCATCTTAGCACGGGCTCCCTTTTGTGTTGCAATTGAAAAGAAAGAGGGAACCTGGTGTCTTCAAATGTTGAGAGTTTCAACACGAATTCTTGATCGCCTCCTTTCTTTTATCGTTTATCATACCTCTTAGCAGCTTCGCTTTCTTGTCCCTGGCAAATCTGTGTCTTACTCGCTTATTGCTAACGCAAAGAAAAGCCCTTACCTTGAGAGGTGGAGAGGTGCGGCAGTTGACCGGTCCGGCCAAGGATCAGTGACGGATCATGATTGTTGTTGTCATTGTTATGTACGTCTTCAGCTAGATTGAAGTTCTGAAGATCTCAGATGCCCAGCGTTGTTTCTCAGCTGACCGGTCTTGCGTTGAGCGCAGCAACAACATAACTCAAAGCACTGACAATCTCTCCAAAACGTTGACACAAAATCTCTCCAATCTAGTAGCATTTTTCTTCTTGGCACACGCTGTGACAAAGCGTTTTTCAGTGCTTATCGTGGTTGAGCAGCACCAACATGTTGGCTTCTTCATGACAAGAAATTTCGAAACACACGCGAACCTGGCAACATGAAACTAAGTGTCGTTGATCTAGTTTGTTTGTATTCACAGAGCGTTGTCCACATCCTTCGCGTTGAGAGTTCCTTGGCCCGTTGTTTCACTTTGCTTGTTTGAGTTGTTTGTAGTGTCACTGCCTCCCTTTTGCGTTGCAATCTTCAAACGTTGAGAGTTTCAACACGATTTCTAACAGACCTCTTAAGCAGCTTCGCTTTCCAAATTTCTGTCTTACTCGTTTACTGCTAACGCAAAGAAAGCCCTATCTAAACGAACTTACCTTGCGAGAGTGGAGAGAGAAGCTGGAGCTCCGATCAATGGGCAGCGTGGAAGGGTCGCGACCCCAACCCCAAGACATCCCGTCCGCGGCATCCACCGCCCCAGCCCTTCATCAACGATGAACCCTAAACGTAAGCTAAGTACCACTATATATAGGCAGGACAAAAAGAGGAAGTTCTCAATTAGTCCAAAACGAAACTTAATTACTCGTCGCTAGCGGGAGGGGACAAGGAATCCTGCTGATCGGACAGCCTGCTGGATGGCTCTTCCGTGCTGCTGTTGCGTGCCTGCACAGCTTCTGGATCTCAGCCGGCGATACATCGCACCGTCGTGGACATGGAGATGATCAAAGGAATCAAAGGGCATGGTTACTACCACTAGCTCGTAGTCCCGATCATTGAAAACTCTGCGTATGAATATGAGGTCACGAATTCTATAGCAGCAGCCGTGAGTAAAAGCTCGTTCCTTTCTCACTGTTGTCTTTCTTATTCGTGTTTTGCTGGAAGAGTGCCGCTTATCCACGAACAACGGCAGCGTTACTGAGAAACCATGGGATTTACGTTTGGGGTGACTCGTGGTTCTGTGCTAAAACTAAGGTGATAGCACTTTTGCCAGCTTGACTCTTAATCTTTTGCGAAGAAGGCAGAATGCTACCATTATCTTTTTGATGCCGCACTTAAGCTTCGCCAGTTTGGCCTCGACCATACAGACCCCTTGCATGGACCAGTGAAGAAACTCAGCCTTGCAGTTCCAAGGAAAAACTATCCCGCAAGAAATGCTGTCTATTTATGCGGGCTTTTATCAAATGTTTTTCTCGTGTGCACCACGATTCCCGTATCATTCGTGATGGACGTTTGTTTCCCTGTGCACATGACAATGAGGGAAAACACCTCTCAGCCACTTACGATTCGAAGGAGACTCAAGGTGATCTAAACCTTCTCAGGCAACAGCCAAGATTTCATTGGTTTTGGTGGCAGCAGAAATCTCGTGTTATGTCAAGCAGGCTCTTAAAGACACGAAGGAGGGAAACGTGCAAACGCAGTTTATTCCCCCAAGTGATGCTCCTAAGGACGAAGTCAGAGCGTAACGTTCTCGCATGACTGCTGCTGATCGCAAAGTTACAGCCCTCAAATAATTCCAGGTCTGGTCTTGTTTTGAATCAACGTTTCTTGATCCTTTGCATCACAGGGATATATTTGGAGAACAGGATACAAAAACGGTGAACACAAAGGCCAAGTCTTTCAGGACGTTCCTGAAGCACTCTCCTTGTGCTGAGTCGAAGGTCTGATAGGAGTTGCCAAAGCACGATGTTGATGTCGTCGCCTTGTTCCTTTCAGGCCTATATTTACTCGAGTGGGAGCCAAGAAGCGCAGCGGTTGATCTTTGGGAACACAAACTTTGGGCTACTTCGATACTGCAGGGTGAGATTTTCCGCACTTGGTTCATTATATTTGCTCCTCGCATCTCATTCCTTTTCAGAAACAAACGAGAGGCACAGAGTTACACTGAAATCTTCCTTTCGGTGGGTGCCGACGAGAGCCTTCTCAGATTACTTCGCCACGGGCTGTTGCTGCTAAAGAAGCTGGTAATGTCTGGGAAAAAAAAGCGAGAGATGTGTTGCTAATGTATCATTGCTTTTGTTGCCAGGCCTGGACACTGTGATACTTGAGAGACCAGGGAACGCACCACTGCCTAGCGGACAGCAAGCACCCTTTGGGACACTTATGATACTCAAAGTTTGCAAGCTCTTACTCAAACAAAGAATCGCGCCTTGGCATATTCGGGCCACGTAGTCTAACTTTCACATTATAAGAAAGCAACTTGTTAAACCTTAACACCAAGAAGCAAAATGTATTCTTAAACCAGGAGTGCCTCTCTTTGTTTATCTCCAGTTCGTCCAGTGTTCTTGGCTCTTGGGCGAATTTTCCTTCCGTTTCCCATGCATCTCGGGAGTAAGGATTGACTAGATGATTCATCCGTGAACTTCGTGAATAAAGCTCACAAACGGCTCCCGTCCCGCTGGGTATGATCCACGTTACTGCTAAATAAATGGAATTGTAAGTCAGTGACGGTGGCAATGGCCACTCCCACGGAAGAACAGCTAAGCTAGTGCCTGAAGAGACATAACTACTTGACAAATGTTTGCAACTTTGTAGATGTATTCATTTCTTTTCAAGGAAACCACAGAGTGCTTTGTGTAGATCGGCTCGTTTTCCCACTGCCAGAGCGTAAACTTCCATTTACCCATCGTTAGCTGGCCCTGGAACGTTGTTCTGTGGCACCGTCCCAATCTCATGGTGTTACAAAAACAAAAGGAAGTTAGAGAAACCATAAAGAAAACTAAAGAGAACATAGACCTGGATGGTTGAAGCCTCTCCTGGCGTTGTCCAGTTCTTTGAACAAACATTTTGGTTAGAACAAACAGCTCACGAACCTCTTAAACTTCGACTTCCATTTCGTTGAACAGAAAACATCCTAGTTAGACAAACCAATATATGAGTTGATTCAGGCGTCTTTTCTTGTAAATTCACGCTATGCACATTCCTTTGCCTTTGGAGTTTTCATGATCGTTGTTTTCATTGAGGTTGGACCATTGTCAATGTACGTCTTCAGCTGGATTGAAGTTCTGAAGATCGCATTGTTTCTCAGCTCGCAGGTCTTGCGCTGAGCGCAGCAACAACATAACTCAAAGCCTCTCCAAAACGTTGACACAAAATCTCTTTAGTCTCGTAGCATTTTTCTTTTTGAACACAGCATTTTTTAGTTCTTATCGTGGTTGAGCAGCACCAACACTTCACCACTTGTCTTTTTCATGACAAGAAATTAGAACAAATTGAAACACATGCAAACCTGAAGCTAAGTATCGTCAACTTTCAATGATATTCACAAGCTTCCCTTCGCATTGAGAGTTCCTTGGGCCGTTGTTTTGCACTTAGCTTGTTTGAGTTGTTTGATGAGCATATCATCTTAGCTTGACTGTGTCACTGGCTCCCTTATGCGTTGAGCATAGCATCTTCTTGACCCTGTCGACACTCTCAATCGAAAAGAAATTGCGAACCTGATGTCTTCAAACGTTGAGAATTTCTCATTTATCGTTGATCATTCGATCCTAGCTCGTTGCAAGCAGCTTCGCTTTTTTGTCTCCGACAAATCTTTCTTGTTTCGTTGTCTTACTCGCTTATTGCTACCACAAAGAAGAGCTCTAAACGAACTTACCTTGCGAGGTGGAGAGGTGCGAGAGTTGACAGGTCCGGCCAAGGATCAGCGACGGATCATAATCGTTGTTGTCATTGTCATGTACGTCTTCAGCTGGATTGAAGTTCTGAAGATCGCGTTGTTTCTCAGGTTGCAGGAATTGCGTTGAGCACAGCAACAACAAATATCTCCAAAACGTTGACACAAAATCTCTCCAATCTAGTAGCATTTTTCTTTTTGGCACACGCTGTGACATAGCGTTTTCAGTTCTTATCGTCGTTGAGTAGCACCAACATGTCACTTGGCTTCTTCATGACAAGAAATTAGAACAAATCGAAACACACGCGAACCTGGCAACATGAAACTAAGTGTTCTTGATCGTTAGTTTTGTCACAGCGTTGTCCACATCGGTGAGTTTCTCTTCGCTTTGAGAGTTCCTTGGCCCGTTGTTTTGCAATTTGCTTGTTTGAGTTGTTTGTTGTGTCACTGCCTCCCTTTTGCATTGCAATCTTCAAACGTTGAGAGTTTCAACACGATTTCTTGATCGCCTCTAGCATACCTCTTCAGCTTCGCTTTCCAAATTTCTGTCTTACTCGCTTATTGCTACCTACCTATATGAACTTGCGAGGGTGGAGAGCCTACCTGGAGCTCCGATCAATCCCCAGAGTCTTTATCAACAATGAACCCTAAACTTGAGCTAAGTACCCCTATTTTATATAGGCAGGGCAAAAAGGGGAAGTTTCTTAAGCATCTGATAATAGGATAAAAAAAAAGGCTTTACAATAAAATAATCACCCCTTTAACCAATTAATTTAGAACGTAAAGGATATAATCATAACATTAGTATTGGAGCCCAATTTATTTCTCATGGCTAATGAATGGGGCAAGAATATTTTGAAGTAATATTTAACATGGTGGATTTAGAGGGAGAACCAAAAGTTTAGTAGACCCTAAGAGAAGGATGAAGATGACCGGAAAGTGGCCTAAGTATGATTGTAGACAATTATTCCCTTACTTTGAACTTTGAAAAGTAGAAGAGATTTAGAGTATGAAGGTTCCTCCAAAACATTTTTTAGTGTAGAGATGTTAAAATATAGTATAAAGTTAAGTTTGCCATGAACGTTAATTTTTATATATTTATAATGATTGTATTAAAGTACAATTGTTTAGCTCACAAACTCAACTTTTCACTGTAAACTCAAAAGTGGTTTGTGCTCATATGCATGACAGTAACCTTTGATAAGAAAATTCCATGCTTGTGCTCTTGTATGCTAAAGATCTCCAAACAAGTCTTTAGCTCTTGGCTTTGTGAACAATTCTTTTTTCTTGACATGATGCTTATCTCAGCATTAGATGCCCCACAAAGGGACTTAGAATTCACTTCACAAATCTTTGATATATGAACCTTGCAGTTCATGTTCTCTAAAAACAAATTTTTCTATGCTATATGTAGTAATCTTAATTTAATATATTTAAGGTATATGCTGGTTAATGGTTTTTTACATTTTAAAGGATGGAAATATCCAAGAGGACGCTGAATGAATTACAAGATACAACTTGTTGGTGAGTTGGATTCACTAGGATGTTATATTACTAGTCCTACCTTACGCAGCAAGCCCACTGATATAGTGTTTTTTTTAATATAATATCAACATTACATGTAGAAATACATTTTTTTTTCTTACTCTAGCACACTGATACATTCTTTCATATGAAGGGAATATATTGGATATGATAGTGTCCAAGATCTTGCAAAAGTAGCTGATGTCCTGGTGTAAACTTGGTCCTCTCTTACCAAAGCTTGATCGCCTTTGTCTATATGAAACTTCCACAACACTAAACAAGCTTCTTATAACCCGGGTAGTCGAACGATAATGCGGATGGTTAAAGTTCTTTTATCTGGGAGGTGATGGATTGTGTTTAGTGGTTTTTTCGCCTAGATTCTTGAACGACACAGGATTTCGCCAGTCAACTCGCCATGATTTTAGGGTTCTTCAAAATTACAGTGGAGATTAAAATAACATCCAGCATTTTATCTGGTATAATCTGTTCATTACTGCAAAATGCCAGCAAATTGAACTGGACCCAAATTTACGAATTTTGAATTCTGTGATGTCAGCTATTTGCGAAAAACATATATTATTATAGCGGAAAGTTATATTGCTTGGCGCTTGGGGCGCGGTGGATGAACGATCCATCCACTTCTCCCCTCTGCGATGATTGACAGCGCCTCCGGCCGGAGGACGAGATTGCCATCGAGCCCGAGCTCCAGGATCGCGCCCTCGGGCACGAGGAGATCGCGATTGGCGATCCACACGGGCTGTGGAGGTCGTCACCGCCCGGGGCATGACGCTGGACGATTCCGGGAACCTCATTCTCGAGTCCGCCGATGGCTTGCCGCTGTGGCAGAGCTTCGATCATCCTGTTCACGCTCTCGGCTCAACGGCCAGGCTCCCGGCCGGGGGGATTTCTTCCTGAGGAAGATCGCGCTCGCGCGGTACGGCAATGACTCCATCGATCTGGATCATCGTCGACGCAAATCCGATGATCCGCCTCCTGATCATCGCCTGGGACGACGCAATGCAAGGCTCGATCGCTGCGCGATGCCGATAGATTCTCGACTTGCAGCGCGTGCGGGCGATGGGCATGGAGTACTTCGCGGGCGTGGAACCAATCCATGGAAGAATGCAGCGGACCAGTTTAGTTTAGGGTTCTTCCAAGATTTTCGTTTTAGGGTATTTCTCCTTTTAGGGATTCTTCTTTAAACTGAAAAGGTGTTTTACCATATACGCCGCCCATAGATATTTCCAAAAGCGGCAGAGCTTGTCGCGATCGGGGATTGGTCGGTGGTGTGGTCTCACAACCACACAGTGTTGTGACGTGGTAAATCGATCTGGGGGTCGAATCGATTCAGTCGATCTAGAGAATTCAACGATGGCGAGAAGCGAATCTTCCCCCCGCTTTTTCTCCCAGCGAAACTATAGTGGAATCCGAGCGCACTGGTCGGTGACATCTAATTATTAGGAATATTCCCCGGATCAAAATCACTCCTTGATTGATTGATTCCCTTTTCTCCTTGCGGTCAATATCGAATTTTGGCGTGGTGGCATGGAAGTGCTGTTTCGCTTGCGCTTCTCTACATCAAGCACGTCATGAAAGGATTAAATCAACACACAAGGCCCAGAGATTAGATCAACCACACATTACATTAAATATCTCTACGATTAAATCAATTGTTTCGTTGTGGAGGCTCCCTCTCACGCAGACCGTCCGATGGCGGGGAGATTAGAACGCGTCTGGGGCCCAGATTCGAACCCCCACCAAAATCATTTTTTCCGGACACGAGGCTCTACTCCATTGCAGTTGTGAGCTGCCCCACATTTCCATTCACTAAGCTCTCCACGCTCAGAGCATCCTTCGATCAAATGCCGGAGCGGAGGAAGGAGCTATCGCGCTAGGGTTTTATCGGCCGGGGCGCCTGGTTCGATCGCTTAGGCTCTACACCGCAGCACGCTCGATTCCGATTCCTGGTAAATCGTCCCAGAGTATGGCACAGTCTTGCTCGAATTTGACGATCGACGAGGAAATAACACAGGAGCGGTAGGAGATCCATCTTGGGGCGGCGATAATTCGCACTAGCTCGTCCAGATCGCGTTAAGCGCTGGTTCTTAGGAAGATCGATTCAGATTCTTTGATTTCCCTCTCCCTCCCTTTCTCTCTCCTTCTCTCTCGTTCTCTCTTGGGTTGAGTGAAGGAAAAAAAAAATGGGATGCGCTCTCTCGAAAACACAAGACGAGCACGCTACGCTGTCGACGACTCTCGGTGAAGTGTATGTGTTCTTCCCGGGTCTCCGGTTGCCTCGAAAGGTGGATTTCGGGAATTCGCTTGTCAGGGAGCACTACTCCAGCGCTCTAATTGGAAGACTGGCAGCTTTAAGATCCAAAGTGGTGGCTGCTGCCGAGAACGCATGCAAGATCGCGAAAGCAAACAACAAAGCGTCAGGTACGTGCGGTGGAAGATCTTGTCCTTCGCTGGTTGGTTCTAAACATTTATTATTTCCCCCTTTTGACAGAAACAAGTAGTATTTATGAGCTTCGGAGCGCTCTCGAGAATTATCTATCTGCATTACAAGGGATGACCACGACAGAAGGTACGTAACTAAACTTTTTTTTCGTGAAGAATCTGTTCTGTGACCTCTGACTCTTGATTTTAGCTTTAGGAGAGGAAGGCAGCCTGAGCAATTGTTTAGAGTTTTGCTGGAGCAACCAGGAAGACGAGATCAAGGTACTGCGCACGAGGATGAATTGGTCGTTTATAATACTAAAATGCTTGTCTTTTTTTACCAGGAGAGCGTCGTGCCTAGCGTGTACTATGAGCTCCTTTCGGTGCTGCATCTTCTCGCTATGCTTTCGCTTTTAGAGGCCAATCTCACGCTCACGCCTAAACCAAGCTCTGAAGACCAGCGACTTAGACCGAATGATGGTAAAGATATCAAGTGTGGCTGGCGATCTCAGAACTTTGCAAGTGTTGTTCAGGAAGGAAGGCTGCAGTGGAGATGCTCCTAGAAGCCGCCCGGATTCTGGATTACTGCATTGAGCGCGTGTATCCAAATGTTCCTGAGGACTTGAAGTAAGAATTCTCCCTTTATCTTAAGCGTGTACGTAAGTTTCATTTGTAGGACGAAATTCCCGGCTGACGTACAAGAGGAGTTACTGAAATCCTTGCAATTGCAAGCATTGGGACAAGTACTAAAGAGTATCTCACTTGAGTGGTGTTCTCGGAGCTTAACTTTTGACTTGTATATGAACTTTGCAGACTCTCGAGATTCAACTGGGCCTGGCCATTGACAATCTAAAAGCAACATTGGCAGTGAAGCGCAGAATAGCATGCGAGGCAGTAAAGTATTGGCAAATGGTAATAAGTATGTGATTCCACTCATATGAGGTGCGTTGACGATCTGCACAGGCCTTTGAGGGACTTCAACGAGTCCGCTTGCAGAACAACTGGGGAGAAAAGCATGTATTATTTCTGAAATGGAAACGTGCCTCGGCAAAGGTACGAAGTAGCTTCAAACAAGCATTTCGAAAGTCAAGATGGCAACTTCCTTTCGTGCACAGGCGGCAGCTTATTATTATCATGGCCTGGTTTTGGAGGAGGGGCCGGATAAAAGCAAAGCAGCCGCTTCTTTGCAAGCCGCCGAAGCGTTCCTCGCTGAAAGCCGGACACTGTGCAGAGATTTCAGTGCTGCGTCCCCGGTGACAAAGTAAGTTTTGTGCACTCACACACCTCCGAATTCAACTCGGCTCGTCACAGGAAATCTCCGGTATGGGGTGCAATGAAAAGCTTATCGCAAAAAATCCCGGACGCTGCAAGCCGGGCTGGGATCACCACCACCAAAGGCGTGAGCCAGAAACACAGGTATATCCATTTCCAACCTTCCGGCTCTAATCCTTCACAGCTGCTACCAAACAGCAAGCTTCCGGAGCTCCCAGATTTCTCCCTCTCTCTGCAGTGGGATGTTTACGAGCTCCCAGCGATTGACGCGATATGGTCGCAGGAGAGAAGCATCGCTCCAAGGCCAAACTAGCGCGCGCGCGCTTGCTCTATCCATCAAACAGGCGATCGAAGGAGAAGAAGAAAAAGTAAAAAGGACAGACGTGGACGAGGAGATCGAGTAAGTGTACATTATTGTGATTGACACGCGCAGTTTTGTGCTAGCGAAGATTGGGATTGGGAGGAGAAAATGTGGGCGCCGGTGGTTGACACGGCGCTTTCACAGAGGAACACACACGCGCTCTCGCATTCTCCATGCAAAAGCGTTGTGTGGCGCGCGCGCGCGCGCGGGGAGTTTGCTGGATTGATATGCACAAAAAGTGAGATCTTCTCTCACACCTACTTTCGTCAACCTCCTCCGGCCTACTCCCAACTTTTGGAAAAAATCAATCTATGCATTCCACGGAAGAACCATCGTCTTGAAATTATTTACGTGGAAACATTCAACACCCTCGTCCAAATGGTCCAAATGTCGCTAAGCAAAGTACCGGCGGAGATTATGGATGGATAGGGTTGACGGAATATCCTCCCTTCGTCTAGGTCATCGTTAATCGTTAGCGGTGGAGGGAAAGAAAGAAGACGCGCCATCGTCGCCATTGTGCGTCGCGTTTGTATGTGAGTGGGTCTTTTTTTTCTTCCTCCTTTTTTGTCCCGTGTGCGTTGTTGCATTGGCGTGTGATCTTCGCGCTCTCTTCTCTCTCACCTCTCTCTCTCTCTCTCTCTCTCTCTCTCTCTCTCTCTCTCTCTCTTCTTTTGCTTTTTTTTTTTGTCTTGGAAGAGAGAGCGAGAGAGTGATGAACGGTCCCTCCATACATGTCTCCGGCATCAGATGGGTCGCATTTTTCCGGCCTCCTCGGCACACAGTGCTTCGTGTTTTGTTTTTGTTCTTATAGTTTTCTTTTTTCTTTCTTTCCTTTCTTAGCGATTTGTCATTCAGTATAGTGTTGTTGTCAGGCGCTCGCTGTGATATTTTCCTTTCCCCTCTTTACATTCTTTCCCCATTTGCAAGGGTCGTTCCAGAGAAGCGCGAGCGAAGCCGCGCAAGCAGGCCCAACGATTCTTCTTCGGTGTGTTCTTCTTTTCTTCTTTCTCTCTTTTTTATTTTTTTGACTTTGCCTTCTACTTTGTGGGAAAATCCGTGAATTCCAACTTGCCACTGATTCGAGCATTCATTGCTCTGCGCGAGCTGGTTTCTCCCCGACTGGAGCTCTTTCCTCTTTCTTTGCCCCCTCCTCTGGCAGTGAGTGTGCTGTGTGTTGCGTTGTGTGTGCTGTGCCATGGATATTGGCGATCCAGATGGGAACAGCGACATCTCTCCAGTGGACAACTTTATTTTTCCACCTCGCTGTTTTTAATTCCTGCCTGGCCATGCCCTGACCTTCCGGAGCTATGATCTCATCTATCTGGGTAAGAATGAGGACGAAGGAGATTCTAGAAGTATCAGTAGAACTAGAACTAGAACTACGACTAAGTAGTGTAGCAGTAGTGGCGTAGCAGACCGCGAATTGAGTGAGTGAGAGGAGATTCTTTCTTCTTCTTCTTGTTCTTCTAGTCATTCGTTCCAGGCCGGGTGGGATTTGGGAAGAGTTTTACGAGCAGAGCTCTAGAGCAGGATGGGTCCAGGAGTAGAATGCGTAGAGGATGTAGTTCACGAGATGGTGATGATCCAGCAGAGCTTGCTGCCGCTCCGCCCGACTCGGGAGCAGTACGAGGCGGCGCTGGCAGCGGTGGCGCGGGCGGAGCACATCCTGGCGTCGCGGCTGGAGGAGCTCGTGCGGGAGCGGCGGCCCGAGGGTGTTCCACAGCCGGCGTTCCGGGCCCTCCAGGAGATGCGCGAGGACGTGCTTCGAATGCAAGTGGAGGAGCACAAGCGGCCGTGGCTGGCGGTGATCGAGCTCGAGGAGCGGCACCAGCGGCACCACCAACTTTTCCAGAAGGTAGCGGCAGCGAGCGGCGGCACGGACGCGGGATCCATGGCCAACGGCGGCGGCGCCACCTCGGTGCTCAACGGCATCGACAGCTCCAGCTCGGGTGAGTTCTCCGACGACGTGGTGGCCAACGGGCAGAGGTTCTACGCCGCCGCCAGCTTGGAGCAAACGAGGGAGCCAGCTATGGCGACGATGGAGCAAAACCATTACGGTGGCTATCACCCCGACAACGCACAGACATTCACTCCCGATGTCTCTGGATCAGGTACTTCTTTAACTCTTTCACGACGAGAGGAAGAAAAGGAAAAAAACGCAGAGAGAACAATCCCACGTTGACTTTTAGTTTTCTCGTAGCGCCCAAGACCTTGTCAACCATCGCCGAGGACGGGCAGGCGGCGCCGCTCCAGTGCCCGCCCAGGCTGCTGGCGATGATCCAGGCGGCCGCCGAGAGCGGGGCCGAGAGCCTGGTGGCGGTGGACATGTTTGTCCGCGAGAACATCCTGCTGGACGACTCCATCAGCCAGCTGAGCAACTTGAGAGTGCTGGAGCTGTCGGGCAACCGGATCGTCAAGCTCCCGGACAGCATCGGCGAGCTCTCCCAGCTCACCGTGCTCGACCTCCAGTCCAACCAGCTGACGGCGCTCCCGGACACGATCGGCCGCCTCACGTCGCTCAAGCGGCTCAACATCGAGAAGAACGGCATCGAGGAGCTGCCGTGGACGATCGGCAACTGCGAGTCTCTGGAGGAGCTCCGGGCCGACTTCAACCAGCTGAAAGCTCTCCCCGAGGCGGTGGGCTACCTCGGCAACCTGCGGATACTCTCGGTCCATCTCAACTGCTTGAAAAGCTTGCCGAGCACCATGGCGTACCTGACGAGCCTGGCGGAGCTGGACGTGCACTTCAACCAGCTCGAGTCCGTGCCCGAGAGCCTGTGCTTCGTCACCACGCTCCGGAAGCTGGACATCTCGTCCAACTTCCATGCGCTGCGGTTCCTGCCATACAAGATCGGCAACCTCCACCAGCTGGAGGAGCTCGACATCAGCTACAACAGCATCCTGGAGCTGCCCGACTCGTTTGTCCAGCTCGAGAACTTGCGGAAGCTGCGGCTCGAGGGGAATCCGTGGAGGGTGCCGCCGCTGCAAGTCACGCAGAAAGGCAATCAGGTATGTGGATGGCAGTTGTTTTTTCTCTCTCTCTTTTTCTCGCGGAAAGTTTGATTTTTCCTTTTCGTTTTCGTTTTTGTTTGTCGCAGGCGATCTTCGATTATTTGCACGAGAGCATCAAGCAAAAGCAGCAGGAGAAGCTGGCGAGAAAGAAGAGGAACATACTCATTAAAGCTGCGCACGCATGCTGTGGCTTCTTTGGAAGGTTGTGCGAGTCCAAGCATGGTGACAGTGCCTTGAACATACTCGCCTGACGCGGCAGGACAAAGCGCAAGAGAGCAAATGGTTAGTTCCTCCTTTTGCTTTTGTTGGCTTGCAGCTAAAAGCTTGATCCCATTTGCAGTTGTCTGTACAAGTAAAGAAAAAGAGATTCGATCCATCAAAAATTGGTTTTTTCGCAGCAGCATCCCCCTGTAAGCAAAATTTCCGCTGGTTCTTTGCCTTCTAACGGTTTGAGTGGGGCGACTATCAAGCATCCTATGTACAGTTTCGAGAAATAGATCGTTTTCCAGTCCATTGGTTTTAGAATCTCCGAATAACGATCGCAGACAGGGAAAGGTGTGAGACTTTTTTTCCATGGCCTGGAAGAAGAATGGTTTTTGCCAAACATTGGAAAACCAGTGCAAATGATTGAGAAAGAATAAAGTTTGAGAGAATTATAAGACCATGGGTTCCACCACTATTGCACTGATTTAAGCTATGCAATATATTGCAAAAAGCCAAGGCATAAACATGGGGTATATCACCTAAAGGCCAGCCTTGCATTGTCATTGTCTAGGCTGGAGGACATGTGAGAGCCACTCACACTCGCACTTTAAAAAATTTAACCTAGCTAATGTCCACCGTTGATGTGGGTGGATTGCCTCTTGATTACAGCTCATTTGGGCGGCGGTTTGGCCATCTACTTAAAGCATCGAACCCCTAAAAAAGTTGTGTGTGCTTAAGAGCTCCAAGAACAAGAAAGGCGAGAGGAGGGAGAGAGAGAGAGAGGGATTTCTTTCGGGCATAGAAGGGAATCGGGGATGGCGGCAGCTCTCAGGTTAGCGGCATTCGTCGCGGTGGTGGTTCTATCAGCGGCGGCCGCGATGGCGCAAGCGCCCGCCCCAGCGCCCGTGGAAGGCGCAGCTTCTCCAATCCTCGCCTCGTCCTCCCTCGCGGTTGGAGCTGCTGCGGCCGTGGCCGCCCTGGTGTTTGGATTCTTGGGATGAGCAGCGACGAAGAAAGGGAAGAATGGGTTCCTCCAATCCTCGGCGCGCGCGGGATTTCCTGGAGCGCCGGGAGGAAATGCTGGTGGATCTTTCGCGAGATTTCGGCGGATTTCTCTCTCGCGCGCGCGTCTCTCGGTGCTGCGCGGCTTCGTGGAGTGGAGGCTTTCGTTCTTTCCTTTTTCTTCTCTCGATTCTTTGTATTTTGATCTTATAATTTTTACACATTCTTGTTATGACGTGGCATGCTGAGTCGGGTGCTTCCGTGGCGTTGAGTGGCGGCGTGGCCGAGCCACAGTCCTGCATTCTCGATAACGTCCACGTTAGCCCTATTCCAGCCTGTCCACCCTAAACGCAGCAGGGGAGAGCTATGGCGACGATGGCTCCGGTCGCGATGCTCGCGAGCAGAGGTACGCAGAGCTCCTGGGGTCCTGGGGGATTGAATGCCAGCGGTGCCAGCGGCAGAGCGCCGCGATTGGGATTGGCATTGGGATTTGGCAGCGATGGCGCAGCAATTGCGAGGTTCTCACGGCTCCAGACGCGAGTGGCGGCGGCGGACCTGGATAAGCTCGTGGATGAGGTGAAGAATCTGACGCTGGAGCAGGCGCGGCAGCTGGTGGAGCGGCTGGAGACCGAGCTCGGGGTGAGCGCCGCCACGTTCGCGGCGCCGGTGGCGATGGCGGGCGGCGCCGCGCCGGCGGAGGCTGCCCCCGTGGTGGAGGAGAAGACCGAGTTCGATCTCCTGATCGACGAGGTGCCCAGCAACGCCAGGATTGCCGTGATCAAGGCGATTCGCGCCATCACCAACTTGGGTCTCAAGGAGGCCAAGGATCTCATCGAGGGTCTGCCCAAGAAGATCAAGGAGGGCGTCGCCAAGGACGACGCCGAGGACGCACAGAAGCAACTAGAGGCTGCCGGCGCCAAATGTAGCATCAAGTAGAAGAGAAAGAACTCTGGTAAGATTTTTTCTTTCTTTCTTCTTCTTCCACCATCGCTGCAAAGCCTTCTTTTTTTCCCCTCATCAATGTATTATTACTTGGATTTTTTTCAAAGGTTGAAAGAAGGCAAACAAGCTCGCGTCTCGTTCGTCTGTGTATAATTTATTTCCGAGAGCTGTGATAGCGGAGAAAGTTATCTCGTTTCTTGTTTCGCGCTCTCTCCTGTGATTCTGAAAGGCAACACACAAAACTCCCACCGGAAAATATCAGGCAGTAAAATAGTTGTGTGGAGTACCCCTCTTGGTCTATATAAATATAAACTCGTGGAGTTTTGTGTATCTCTATCTCGAATGGAATTTCGTCATGGTTCTCGCCAAAGTGTGGAGAGCACAAGGTGTTGCGCGAAGAGTGCTCTAGAGGAGGCCTCTTTCGTCCTTTCCTTCTTCTCTTCCGACGATAGCGAAGGGGATCCAGAGCTGGGGGAAACAAAAGTGTGATCAAAATCTATGATCTTCGGACTAAAAAAAACTAGAGTTTGAAGTACCTGGTGGTGATTTCTTCTACTGTTTCTTCGTCCGGAGATAAGTTCGCCACTGAGAATGGTAAGCCCGACTTTAAGACCTCCGGCTCGGAGGTTGGAAACCCCGAAACAAGGGAGAGAAGAAACGAATCCGACGCTCTCACCTGTGCTCCCAACAGTGCTTGCAAGTTCCCCGCGATATCTTTGGGCTTGCGAAGCCTTCTCCTGTGGTGTCTGGTTAAAGAAAATGCATGTTTTTCCCAAAACACAACGCAGAAAACACACAAAAAGAGGAAAAGGATATCTTGAGATGTGCATGATCGGAATTTATATGGCCAATAACGTCCCCGACCCGCGCAGCACACACGGGACACATCTGCAAAAGCATCGTGTTTCAGTCGAAGAACAAGAACAAAAGAAAAGCGAAAAAAGGAGAAAAAAAGGAACTTTTTTCTTTTGAGCCGACTTACAGTGAGCTTCCCATCGAAGCAGTGCTCTATCTCCAGATGCAAGCACAAGGACGTGATATCAAACTCTTCCTCGCAGTAAGGGCACGCGAAATCCGTGCGGAAATCCTCGTCCACTTCCAAGTCCTCCGTGTTTAGTTGTCGATCTGTCGGTGAGATCAGCGAAAAGGGGAGAAAACAACGCGAAATCTTGGTAGCGCACCTATCAAGGACTGAGATGCTTGCAGCAATTGAGCCCTTTTGGACGACGCAATTCGCGACGACCACAACTCCGCCTCCATTCGTGTTCTCGAGGCGCAAATCCGAGAAAATAAATGAAAGGAAACGCGCGCAACCACAGAGTTCTTCGATCTCTTTGGAAGAATACGCCGGTACCTGGAAATCGAGGAGCCCTCCGCTCGAGCTCACTCCACAAACCCTAGAAGTCCTTTCTCACACGTGGAATTTTAAATGGTTTGTCCACGTCACGAGATCTTACGTGGCATTGTAGGGCTGGACTTTTTCAACCCTTTTGATATTTCTCGCAAATTTAGGGCTTTGGATCGATGGAGAATGGCGATGCATGGAGGCTGATTCTCGGCAAGCTGCCAGTGCCCGGCCTCGCGCGCGCTGCCTGCGTCTGTCGCTCCTGGCGCGAATTCGCGGCGGATCCTGCCGTGATCGCGGCCGCATTCGCGGCGCCATGGGAATTGAAGCAATTGGTGGGCGTGCCGTCCACTCCCAGCTTGTGGAAGGCGTCGGGCCTGGGCTGCTTCGCCATCTCCCATCCAGTGACGAAGTCGGACAGTGTCGCGGCGTTGGCTATCAAATACAAAGTCCAGGTGAGTTGAGTTGAGTGTTTTTCGTTTTACACGGTGTGGTTTGCGAGTTCCTTGGATCAAATTGCAATTTTGCTTATAGCGACATGCTGTCAGTTTTTCCCTTTCTCTTTCCTTTTTATTTTTCTCATTCTCTCTGGCTCTATAAGTTTTGTTCTTCGATGATGTTGATAGCTACATCCTGTCGAGAGATTCTTTGCTCTTTTCTTGCTCTTTTGAGTTTCAGAGTTATTCGCTTGGCGATTCATCTGTGCATATAAGAATCTCTTTATCTACGCAACTGATTTCCTTGTTTTCCATCGGACAGGTTTCTGAGATACGGCGCCTGAACAACATGCTGAGCGACCATGGAATCCGTGCGAGGGACAGGCTGCTTATTCCCGTCACAAGCCCTTGCGCTCTGCGAGGCAAGGTCTGCTTCATTGAAATGGACCTCCACTCGCGTCGCGAGATGGCAGTCATCTATCCAGATGGCTTGGGACCCCTCCACGATCCCAAGGTGGCAGCCACAAGCCTGAAAAGCACGGTTTTCCGCTCCATGAAGACAAGCATGAGGCTTGATAGTGAGACGGCACAGTACTATCTGGCACTCGCAGGGGGCAACTTCAAGCAGGCCTTGGCCGAGCTTAAGGGGGATCTTGATTGGGAAGAGCGGAATCTCTCACCACTGTGGTGAGTGATTTAGCGGGACGAGAAAATTTCCATCACCATCATCAAGCTCTAAAGTTCGTATCGTATACGGGATATCTACTTTATGCCAACATTCCTTTCTCTACAGTCAGGGCTGTGGTGTGTATTTTTATGTGGGGTAAAAGGTACGTACATTTGTTTTGCGCTTCGCTGTGCTCTGATACGCTGTTCTTTTAGAATTTTATATCCGGTTTGTTGCATCTGACCTTGAAAGCAAAGTTTCCTGAGAGCTTTATCATGGACCCTGCAGAGGTGTGAGGGGAGAGTTGCTGTCCTTGGACCAGCCCAAAGCTTTTGTGAGCGCGTTTCGTTTTCTTTTTTTCTTTTCTCTTTTTGCGTTTCTCTCTGCAAAGCAGCAGCCTTTCTAATCCTTCTTTTCAGCTTACATATGTTTTGTTTTGAGTAGCGACCTCGGGAGGATGATCCTAGTTATGCTTTGCCGCGGTAAGAAGAGAGCTCCCGGTTTTTCTCTCACTCCATAGAAGCTTCTCTAAGCCTCATGTTTCTTTTATGTGCAGTGTTTTCGTGGGTGTAGCTTTCAAGGGCCAAGTTGCGTGGATCAGAAGCGAGGGAGAGCAGGAGGAGGCTTTGGCTTGGCTGTGCTGTGCTGGAGGGAGGAGAGATTGTGTTCGATGGGAAAGTGTTGCAGTCAGTGGTGCTGTCGGCTGGTGTTGCAAATGGCGGTCTGTGCAAGCTAAAGGTTGAGTCCCTCCTTTCACTTAGAATAATTTTCCTTTACCTCGCCATGTCGGTACTTTTCTCTAGCTTGCATCTTTTATTTTAGTTCGCGTGATGATTGATTGACACAGTGGTGCCTTGGCGTGTATTTATACAGGAGGATGATGCGAGCTTGTCACTACATTCTCCAGTCGAGTCCTCATCCTTGGGCTGAGGAGACAATAATGTTCTCCTCGGCAGCTATGCCCCCCGAGGATGAGAGTTCTCCTGGCGAACGATGCGCCAGTGCAAATCATCGAGTGCCTGTGGTGGTGCCGCTCCGCCATCGCCTCGCCAAGCTCCCTCGCTGCTACTCAATGATCTGTGCTGCGGATGGAGGAGCTTGTGAGATGATGTAGTTCATTCATTCTGCTGCTACTGTGGGAAAAGCCGGAATGGTCCGAGCAAAACTATAAATCTTCTCTCGCTCTTTTGCTTATTCTTGTATGCAGCAAGAGTTACAAGGCAAGGTGAGAGAGAGGAGAGTCTTGTTCTATAGGAATATATGGATTCTTTGGTTAATTGAGATGTGAACTTGCTGATCTATATCTCTCTTTCTCTCTGGTGATCACTGCTCGTTCCTTCATTTCGGCTTGTGATTGATCTACAAGTTTGTTTGATGTCGCAGGCTGTGATTTCATGAGACGCTCGCTGGGGGAAAGTATGCCTTTGCCATTCAAAATGGTGAGCACTTCTTTGGCAGAAAGAGTGGAGCTCATCCCTCAAATTCATCTTCTTCTTTGGGCTTGTTTCTTTTAGCAAAAGAGAGGCTCGATCGGGAAGATCTTGGTTTCTAGGAGCTAGCGCGGCTTCCCGATTTAACTTCTTCCTTGCTAGAAGAGGATGAAAACGCTGAAGAACTTCTTCATTGCCAAACAAAGGAATTTTACTTCCTTAAAGCATCTCCTTCTTCGCTGCGAAGAAAATATCGATTATGCGTCTCTTGAAGCGCTGGAGGATCAAAGCTGCAAGTTCCTCCTCTCCAATAGCATCCCTTGGAATTGTTTGCTCAGCCATCCACGATCGTGTATTAAGAAGCCCAATCCTTGAGGATGATCGACACTGAATTTGAAGCAGCACTTGGAGTGCTTGACTGCCGTGAGAGAAACACTTGTTTTAGCTAGCGTTTAAATAAACCACTGATTATTCAACTTAACACTTGTTTTCGAGCAGGAATTTCTACCTGATCCTTGCAACTCCAACCAGCAAAACCTAACGAACAAACTAATTTACTCTCCTGACGATGCCACTCATGAAGAGCAGCACCTCCAAAAACTAAAGTAGCCTTCGTGCATTGATTTCTATCCAAAACTTTCGTGATGAAAACCACAGAAACAACAGGCCCCATACATCTTTAGACCATGGAGTCAAGAGGACCATTCGCCACCTTAGTCTTCGAGGAAGAAAAGGTCCTAAATCTTATTTGAAGCTCCCGTGCGGAGAGGAGCTAGCAGTCCAGGGTTGTAAACCTCGCAAAGAGCTCGCTTTGCAGCAGCCTCTTCATCTGCTCCTCGAGCAGCATCACCACAATCCGGCGCTCTCGCATCCCGCCCTGGGGCGTGGGAAGTAGCACCACCACCCCGTTGCCATACCACGGCTCCAGCACCATCGAGAAGTGGGCCGGTCGCCCCCACCCAAACTCAAACTCGTACACCGGGAACGAGTGCAAGTTGACGCTGTAGATCCCCATCCCGGTGCTGGGTGGCGGGACGTTGAGCCCGATATCATGGCCCTTGCGCAGCGTCTCCTCCATCCAGTCGATGGTGGACTGGATCCTCTCCTGGCCTACGTTGCGGACATCCTCGTGGAAGAGCCGCGCGGCGTGGGAGACGTGCTTGTTCTTGAGATCGCCCACGGCGCACGGCAGGCAGAGCGTGAAGGAGGAGGTACCACAGTACTCGCTCGGCATCGGTGGCTGCCACCGGTTTCTGCCCACCTTGGTGGACACCGCGTAGATGTAAGTGTTGGTCACCGAGTCGTCGAAGTCACGGGCCTCGGTGATGCACTTCCAGACGAGACCCGACACGGCCTCGAAGGAGGTCGGGCCGCTGCCGTAGGCGAACGGGCCAGACGCGATCTCGTGCTTGAGCTCCGCGAGCTGCTGCTCGTTCATGTGGAATGCCCGGACGTTGTAACTGGGCTTGAAGTCCTGGGCGGCCTTGCCCATCTCCTCGGCGATGGCGGGGGTCACGGCAACGAAGTCCCGGACCGGCACGGTGACGCAGGGCGGATCCCGCGCCTTGAGGAGGCTGGAGTCGAAGCTGGGCGGTGGATTCGGCGGTGGGAATCCCCGGTGGAGCTCCGACCAGGCCTTGAGGAAGGGGAAGACCGAGGAGCCGTCCAGGAGGGTGTGGGTGGTGACGAGGCCCAGAGCTATCCCGCCACACCGGAACTTGGTCACCTGGGAGAGTAGTCAAAGCCGACCAAAGCCGGTCAACTACAGTCAAACCGCGAAGAACCGGGACTTACCTGAACTTTGAGCTGAGGGAAGTTCTCCGGATCGGTGATCGCGGTCTGGGCCGGGTTGAGCTCCTGCTCGATGGAGCACTGCTTCATGGAATCGCCCCAGTCGCCGAAGCTCGCATCGGCGAAGGCCACCACGAACTCGATGCCGCGGTCGTTGCACTCGAGGATGGGGCGGTCGAGGCCGCCGATCCTGGGCCTCCCCGCGAGCGGATAGTACGGGACGAGGATCCGGGAGAGCGAATCCTTCAAGCTCGCCACCAGCGAATCGAAAGAGCTTACGTGATCCAATGCAGCTGGGTAGTAGTAGACTTGCTTGAGATAGTTCTCGGCCAGGACCTGGATTTGGAAGTTGCAAAGCCAGAGAGTGCAGGGCTGCGGCGTTGGGACCGCTGGAACGACCGTGGACACGGACTCTACGCGCACAACCATCTTTGCAACCAAAGATGAAATCCACAAAACACTCAAGAGAGGGAGAAAGAACACCACAAAAACTTTCGAAATACACTCACAAACTTCGATGATCCCACACGAGACGTTTCTTCCCGAAGATCCCACGAGAAGAACGTGCTTATCGCACATTGTCCTAGATTGACAGAAAAATATCATTCATTTTATAGGGCTGTGTGTTGCGATCCTTGTTGGGTCGCCTCGTGCGCCGACCGTCAGGAGCAGCAGCACTCTCCGCGAGGAGGATCCCAGCTCCAGGAAGCGACAGGAGATGGAGATTATGAAGCCCTCGATTCCCTACGCCTCCTCCAGCGCTCCAAACCCACGTCAAGCCGGCTAGATTCTGGAGGCCGCAGAGGACAGCGGGTTTTCTTAGATTTGTTTTCCTTTTCTTCTTTTGATCGTGTGATTGTATTTCCTCTGAGTATCACAGGCTCGGTTCTAGGAGCACTGTGCGCGGCCGGAGCTTTCAAAGGCGTCACGGCTTCGTAATTATCATCTTTCCATTCATTCTCTCGTACACAATGCTCCGTTTGGTCTCACTGATCATGTGAACCAAGCACTCTCAACCACGGTTTGTCTTGTGGATGATAGCGTATAGACTGTGGTGATGGATGATCCTTTCGTTTTTCGCCTAGGTCCTGGGACTTGGCTATCTCTTTGTTGCGGCCAGAAGCTCACGAAGCTCTTGACTCAATCGCCATCAGAAGTTTCCAAGAGGTAAACATGAAAGTTTTCACTTGCATGTTTTCTAGCGGGATTTGTTTTGTCACAGTTAAGGAAGATGAGGATGCCATCTTTCTTTTTCAAATTGGGATGTGATCCAGCTCTGATATCATATTCGAGATAGGAAATCACAAATGTTGGCCGGTCAAGGATCAGCGACGGATCATGATCATTGAGGTTGGATCATGTACGTCTTCAAGTTCTGGAGATCGCAGGTGCCCAACGTTATTTCTCAGCGTTATTTCTCAGCTCGCAGGTCTTGCCCTGAGCGCAGCAATCAAAGCGCTGACAATCTCTCCAAAACGTTGCTAACCTAGTATGGCACACGCTGTGACATGGCGTTTTTCAGTTCTTATCGTCGTTGAGCAACACCAGGCTTCTTCATGACAAGAAATTAGAACAAATCGAAAGACACGAGAACCTGGTAACGTAAAAGTATTGTTGATTGTTCATATTCGCACAGCGTTGTCCACATCAGTGAGTTCGCGTTGAGAGTTGGCCCGTTGTTTTGCAGTGTCACTGGCTCCCTTTTGCGTTGCAATCGAAAAGAAAGAGCGAACCTGGTTGGTGTTTCAACACAAATTCTTGATCCCCTCTAGCCTTTCTTTTATGGCATTGGATTAGGCAACGAGGATCATGTTGTAGGAGAGGAGATTGGGCTTTCAAAAACCTACCTTTGATTGTAGCTTCAAATCTTTAGTTGTCGTTTTTCTATTGTAAAGGAGCAATCCATGGATTCCACGCCCTAATCACTGGCAGATTGATTTCTCGCGGTCTTTGGATCTAGTGCTCCAAATCAAAATTTCTATAACACAGAATTAACAAAGGTGAATGATCTGTTCCAGGTAAAGCAGTTGCAAAAGGATACATCACCTGGTTATTTTGTGAGGGGTATGACAGTCACACATGCCTTTGTTAAGAATGTGTGAGTGGATTCAGTGATTATTTATAAATGCATGGACTTTATCAAGTCGGTGAAAGCACAAATTGAGACCGTGGCACCCCACACACTAAGAGCATCCTTTTATGTGGAAAAGAAAGATGGAGGTTTGTGTCCGTCTATGGGTGCCATGGTAAGGGTTGCTGGATCGTTTCCTGCAATGTTGCTTGTGCTGCATTGTAGCATTCTCACCTGGTGAGGTTGTTAGCTCTTGGTAGACAGCTGCTAATTGAGCTCTCATAGAATGATAGAAACAATTTTCTAATGCATGATTAGTTCGGCCACAGAATTGACACCGTACCCTCACTTGCTGGAGTTGAAATAGATTCAGCTTACACACTAGATCTCGCACTGGTTGAGGTGGATTTTAAATGCCCTTGATCATATCTAATGATGGAGTTGCAACCTGAGCTTGCATGTGTTGCCAGGAGAAATTTATCCATAGGTATGTAATGAGATTTCTACAGCAACTTTTGAAGACGGATCCATATATTGCAGTAGATAGTTAAGTGAGGTACTTATGGTAATGTGTATGACCTGATCTGGACACAGCCTGTCACATTGGCATCACAATTTGAGCAAGCCCAATTACCAAATCGTTCTGGATATTTAGAAGGAAGCATTTTCATGCATTGCCGAAAGTAACTCACTTGATCATCTGCCACAGGTAGCAGATCATTCTTCAAAAGAAATTGCTGAAATCTCATCGATGGTCTCTTCTGGAAACAAGGTTCAGGGTGAAAAACAGTTAAAAATGCATTCTTCAAGGCATAAAAGCTGCTCTTGCCATGTAACACTTGGCTGCTACATCCTTGAGTGTCCCAGAAAAAAAGCACTGCTTCAAAGTTTTTCTTGTTGGCTGTGCTCACTTTCCTAAAAGTGGTCACATGCTCATCCGAACGTTGTGTACATGGGATACTTCATCCTGCTAGTCACTGCTGGTGCCACCATGTTGACAACTGGATTTGATTGATCAGGTGGTTGTTGCTACTGCTGAGGTAGTGGTGAACTTTGACAAGGTCCCCACTCTTCCTCCTCTGGCTGTTTTTCTGTTTTCCTTCGTAAGACAACTTCTACAGCCTTTTCTGCTTGTTCTTGTCTACACATGCATAAGCTACTGCTCTGTGGCTGAAGTCTGGCCTCTTCGCTCATCTTCACTCCTCATGAATGACGCACCAAACATGACAACTAAACCAGGAATCCCAGGCTTGACACTCCAAGAGATCTCAGTGGGGCCCCTGGAAAAGACCAGACCTCTGGAGTTTTATTCAAGAAAAAGAGGATATTCGAAAGAGTCTGGTCGAAGTAGAAATTCCTTTGTCAGACGGTTTCCAAGCTCTCAAAATTTAATCCATTTGAAGACACAGTCACAAGCAAAAGTTGTGTTCGAGGAGGCAGTGGCACGGGCGCTGCGACCCCGGTGTTTGATCACGTGTGCCTTGTCCGAGAGCCCTGGCTAAACATCAAGGCCGTAAGCCTCTTTTCCAAACAGTCCACTTTCTTCTTCGAGTGTTTGCAAACTTGGGCAAGCACAGCGCCATGTGATGGATCAATACGAGATTTAACACCAAAGATTACGTGAATCGAGCGAGACTTACTCACACCCAAGTTGTAGTACTTAAACGGCCGCTTCAAGCACCCTTCTCCGTCTTGTCCGAGACGTGGACTTTGTGAACTCGATCCTTCTATGGAGCACAGTGCCTCTCCCCACCATCGGACGGTCCGCGCGAGCACAGTAAGGACCAAGTTTACACCAGGACATCAGCTACTCTTGGACACTACTATCCTATCCAATATGTTCCCTTCATATGGAAGAATGTATCAGTGTTCTAGAGTAAGAAAAGAACATTGTATTTCTACATGTAATGTTGATATTATATATAAAAAAAAACTATATCAGTGGGCTTGCTGTGTGTTGCTGAAGGTAGGACTAGTAATATAACATCCTAGTGAATCCAACTCACCAACAAGTTGTATCTTGTAATTCATTCGGCGTCCTCTTGCAATCCTGAAAAATGTAAAATATAAGCAAAAACCATTAACCAGCATATACCTTAAATTTATATTAAATTAAGTGATTATAAAACAATATTGCTACATGTTTTTAGAGAACATGAACTGCAAGGTTTATATATCAAAGATCTGTGAAGTGAATTCTAAGTCCCTTTGTGGGCCAGCTAATGCTTAGATAAGCATCGTGTCAAGAAAAAAGAATTGTTCACAAAACCAAGAGCTACAGACTTGTTTGGAGATCTTTAGCATACAAGAGCACAAGCATGTGCTCAAAGCTTTTGCATAACCTGAATTTTCTTATCAAAGTTTACTTTCATGCATATGAGCACAAACCACTCTTTAGTTCACAGAGTTGAAAAGTTGAGTTTGTGAGCTAAGCAATTGTACTCTAATACAATCATTATAAATATATAAAAATTAAAGTTCATGGCAAACTTAACTTTATACTATATTTTAACATCTCTACACTTTATCTAAACAAAAATGTTTTGGAACCTCCAGACTCTGAATCTCTTCTACTTTTCAAAGGTTCACAAACACAATGCAGTGGGACGAGCTTTGGACTTGTCCAAGTTTCGGGGATACACGCAACTCCTGGAGGAGCCGCAGCATCTGTTCGGCATTGACGAGAACCTGAACGAGTCCGAGTGGCAAGCCATGTACGTAGATAACGAAGGCGACATGCTGTTCGTTGGAGAGGGAGTAAGATCTCGTCTGTGCATTTCACGGTGTGTTTGTTTAAGGAGTTTTTACACTTCAGGGAGTTTTGCACAACAGTGCGATGCATACGGATCCTATCGCCGGCTGAGGCTACCGTGCAGGCACGCAACAGCAGCACGGAAGAGCTATGATGTTTGAGAACTTCCCCTTTTTGCCCTGCCTATATAAAATAGTGGTACTCAAGTTTAGGGTTCATCGTTGATAAAGGCGGGGTTGGGGTGGTCTTCCACTCTGCCCATTGATCGGAGCTCCAGGTAGGCCGCTTCGCGGCCTTCGCCTCTCTCCACCCTCGCAAGGTAAGTTCGTTTAGGTAGGTAGCAATAGGCGAGTAAGACAGAGATTTGGAAAGCGAAGCTGCTTGCAACGAGCTAAGAGGTATGCTAGAGGTGATCAAGAAATCGTGTTGAAACTCTCAGCGTTTGAAGATTGCAACGCAAAAGGGAGCCAGTGAAACAAGCAAAGTGCAAAACAACGGGCCAAGGAACTCTCAGAGCGAAGGGAAACTCACCGATGTGGACAATGCTGTGTGAATACGAACAAAACTAACGATCAAGAACACTTAGTTTCATGTTGCCAGGTTCGCGTGTGTTTCGATTTGTTCTAATTTCTTGTCATGAAGAAGCCAAGTGACATGTTGGTGCTACTCAACGACGATAAGAACTGAAAAACGCAATGTCACAGCGTGTGCCAAGAAGAAAAATGCTACTAGATTGGAGAGATTTTGTGTCAACGTTTTGGAGAGATTTGTTGTTGCTGTGCTCAACGCAATTCCTGCAACCCGAGAAACAACGCGATCTTCAGAACTTCAATCCAGCTGAAGACGTACATGACAATGACAACAACGATTATGATCCGTCGCTGATCCTTGGCCGGACCGGTCAACTCTCGCACCTCTCCACCTCGCATTAGAGCTTTTCTTTGTGTTAGCAATAAGCGAGTAAGACAACGAAACAAGAAAGATTTGTCGGAGACAGAAAAGCGAAGCTGCTTGCAACGAGCTAGGATCGAATGATCAACAATAAATGAAAGGCTAGAATTCGTGTTGAAACTCTCAACGTTTGAAGACATCAGGTTTGCTCTTTCTTTTCGATTGAGTGTCGACAGGGCCAAGAAGATGCTATGCTCAACGCATAAGGGAGCCAGTGACACAGTCAAGCTAAGATGATATGCTCATCAAACAACTCAAACAAGCTAAGTGCAAAACAACGGCCCAAGGAACTCTCAATGCGAACGGAAACTTGTGAATATCATTGAAAGTTGACGATACTTAGCTTCATGAAAAAGACAAGTGAACGTGTTGGCGCTGCTCAACCACGATAAGAACTAAAAATGCTGTGTTCAAAAAGAAAAATGCTACGAGCTTGGAGAGATTTTGTGTCAACGTTTTGGAGAGGCTTTGAGTTATGTAACCAAAATGTTTGTTCAGAGAACTGGACAACGCCAGGAGAGGCTTCAACCTTCCAGATCTATGTTCTCTTTAGTTTTCTTTATGGTATCTCTAACTTCCTTTTGTTTTGCAACACCATGAGATTGGGACGGTACCACAGAACAACGTTCCAGGGCCAGCTAACGATGGGTAAATGGAAGTTTATGCTCTGGCAGTGGGAAAACGAGACGATCTACACAAAGCACTCTGTGGTGTCCTTGAAAAGAAATGAATACATTTACAAAGTTGCAAACATTTGTCAAGTAGTTATGTCTCTTCAGGCACTAGCTTAGCTGTTGTTTCCGTGGGAGTGGCCATTGCCAGCGGGACGGGAGCCGGTTTGTGAGCTTTATTCACGAAGTTCACGGATGAATCATCTAATCAATCCTTACTCCCGAGATGCATGGGAAACGGAAAGAAAATTCGCCCAAGAGCCAAGAACAGTGGACGAACTAGAGATAAACAAAGAGTGGTTTGAGAATACAAGGTTAAAACTATTTTGCTTCTTGGTGTTAAGGTTTGTGGGCTAGCTAAGGCCCTGACTAACAAGTTGCTTTCTTATAGTGTGAAAGTTAGACTTCTCACAAGCCCAAAGCCACGTGACCCGAATATGCCAAGGCGCGATTCTTTGTTTGAGTAAGAGCTTGCAAACTTTGAGTATCATAAGTGTTCCAAAGGGTGCTTGCCGTCCTGAAACCATGACCGCTAGGCAGTGGTGCGTTCCCTGGTCTCTCAAGTATCACAGTGTCCAGGCCTGGCAACAAAAGCAATGATACATTAGCAACACATCTCTCGTTTTTTTTCCCAGACATTACCAGCTTCTTTAGCAGCAACAGCCCGTGGCGAAGTAATCTGAGAAGGCTCGGCGGCACCCACCGAAAGGAAAATTTCAGTGTAACTTCGTGCCTTTCGTTTGTTTCTGAAAAGGAATGAGATGCGAGGAGCAAATAAATGAACCAAGAGCGGAAAATCTCACCCTGCAGTATCGAAGTAGCCCAAAGTTTGTGTTCCCAAAGATCAACCGTTGCACTTCTCGGCTCCCACTCGAGTACATATAGGCCTGAAAGGAACAAGGCAACGATGCTTTGGCAACTTCTATCAGGTCTTCAACTCAGCACAAGGAGAGTAACGTCAAGAAACATTGATTCAAAACAACACCAGACCTGGAATTGTTTGAGGGCTGTAACTTTGCGATCGGCAGAAATCATGCGAGAACGTTATGCTCTGACTTCGTCCTTAGGAGCATGACTTGGAGGAATGAGCTGCGTTTGCACGTTTCGCTCCTTCGTGTCTTTAAGAGCCTGCTTGACATAACACGAGAGCTTGATTTCTGCTGCCACCAAAACCAATGAAATCTTGGCTGTTGCCTGAGAAGGTCTAGATCATCTTGAGTCTCCTTCGAGTTGTAAGTGGCTGCCAGGTGTTTTCCCACATTATCATGTGCATAGGGAAACAAAATGTCCGTCACGAACGATACGGGAGTGGTGGTGCACACGAGAAAAACATTTGATGAAAGCCGCATAAATAGACAGCATTTCTTGCGGGATAGTTTTTCCTTGGAGCTGCAAGGCTGAGTTTCTTCACTGGTCCATACAAGCGGTCTGTATGGTCGAGGCGAAACTGGCGAACCTTAAGTGCGGCATCAAAATGATAATGGTAGCATTCTGCCTGCTTCGCAAAAGATTAAGAGTCAAGCTGGCAAAAATACTATCACCTGAGTTTTATCACAGAACCACGAGTCACCCCAAACGTAAATCCCATGGTTTTTCACTAACACTGCCGTCATTCGTGGATAAGCGGCACTCTTCCAGCAAAACACGAATAAGAAAGACAACAGTGAGAAACGAACGAGCTTTTACTCACGGCTGCTGCTAAAGAATCCGTGAGCTCGTAGTCATACAATGATCGGGACTACGAGCTAGTGGTAGTAACCATGCCCTTCGATTCCTTTGATCATCTCCATGTCCACGACGGTGCGATGTATCGCCGGCTGAGATCCAGAAGCTGTGCAGGCACGCAACAGCGGCACGGAAGAGCCATCCAGCAGGCTGTCCGATCAGCAGGATTCCTCGTCCCCTCCCGCTACTCGCGACGAGTAATTAAGTTTCGTTTTGGACTAATTGAGAACTTCCTCTTTTTGTCCTATGAACCATTGCCCCAATTGGCATATAACATACTTTAGCTCAAACTTAGGGTTCATCGTTGATGAAGGGCTACGGCGGTGGATGCCGCGGACGGGATGTCTTGGGGTTGGGGTCACGACCCGTCCACTCTGCCCATTGATCGGCGTTTAGATAGGGCTTTTCTTTGCGTTAGCAATAAACAGAGATTTGGAAAGCGGTCTGTTAGAGGCGATCAAGAAATCGTGTTGAAACTCTCAACGTTTGAAGATGCCAGGTTCGCTCTTTCGATTGCAACGCAAAAGGGAGCCATCGACACTAGAAACAACTCAAACAAGCAAAGTGAAACAACGGGCCAAGGAACTCTCAACGCGAAGGGTGTGGACAACGCTGTGTGAATACAAACAAAACTAGATCAACGACACTTATTGCCAGGTTCGCGTGTGTTTCGATTTTGAAGAATCTAGGTTTGCTCTTTCTTTTCAATTGAGAGTGCCGACGGGGTCAAGAAGATGCTATGCTCAACGCAGAAGGGAGCCACACAGTCAAGCTAAGATGATATGCTCAATCAAACAACTCAAACAAGCTAAGTGCAAAGCAACAGTCCAAGGAACTCTCAACGCGAAGGGAAATTTGTGAATACGATCATTGACAGTTGATGATACTTAGCTTCATCTTGTCAGGTTTGGGTGTATTTAAATTTGTTCTAATTTCTTGTCATGAAAAGGACAAGTGACGTGATGGTAATAACTAAAAAATGCTATGTCCAAGAAGAAAAATGCTACGAGATTGGAGAGATTTTATTGTTGCCGCGCTCAACGCAAGACCTGCGAGAAACAATGTTGGGCCAGAACTTGAAGACGTACATTGACAATGGTCCAACCTCAATGAAAACAACGACCATGAAAACTCCAAAGGCAAAAGCATGAATTTACAAGAAAAAACGCCTGAATCAACTCATATATTGATTTGTCTAACTAGGATGTTTGCTGTTCAACGAAATGGAAGTCGAAGTTTAAGAGGCCCGTGAGCTGTTTGTTCAAACCAAAATGTTTGTTCAAAGAACTGGACAACGCCAGGAGAGAGGCTTTAGTTTTCTTTATGGTTTCCCTAACATCCTTTTGTTTTTGGAACGCCATGAGATTGCAACAGTAACGTTCCAGGGCCAGCTAACGATGGGTAGATGGAAGTTACGCTTTGGCAGTGGCAAAACGAGACGATCTACACAAGTGGTTTCCTTGAAAAGAGATAATACATATACAAAGTTGCAAACATTTGTCCAGTAGTTATGTCAAAAAACATTCCCAGAGACGAGCTTCTGGAGGCTGCGACAGCTACTCAAGAGCTCGTTAAACCTCTTGTAGCTGTCCGAACTTGAAGACCTCGGGCTCGTCACTTCCAAAACTTCCAAGCCGATCCCTTCTGGCGTGAGCACGAGCAGCTTCGTGTCTTCTGTCCATGGCCGAGGAATTTCTTCCAGTCCAATCGCTGCTGCCTGAGTATTTTCATCCAGCCTTTTGTCCAGCCTTGCCACTAGCTCGTGTGCCTCTGGCTCTCTCTGAGGGCTCTTCTTCGTCCCTGGCGTTCGGGAGTAGACTCAAAAGCTCGAGCTCATTTCCGCTTCTCAGGTACTCGAGCTCGTGCCTGAGCATTGCGTCCTTTGGCTTTGAAGTTGCAGCAGTCTCTTTGGTGTACTGCTGGTTGTATCTCTCCACAAAACTCACAACCTTTTCCTGGATCAACTCGGGGACGTGGCCACCTTGGAGCCAAGACGCAAACGCGAGACTCTTTTCGTAGTCCCTACCTCGTCTCTGTGAAAGGGAGAGGCTCGCTGTTAAGACGCATCAAACACCCGACGCCAGTTCGCCAGGATCCGGGTGCCACCTTCCGCACTGCTCTGGCTGCAACACGGCTAGCTTCCGGTTCTTCATAGCTCAGGTGCACTTCCAGCGGAGAAAGTAGAGACTTGCATTCATTGGTTTTGTATGACATGCTTAATCTGGTTTGGATTTATTAATTCAGGTTACTTGCATACTTTATTTCCATCCTGAAAAATGTTAATGGTCAGAGGCATGAATAAAGACCATTAGCCAGGATTTTCTGATTGACTCGACTACAATGAGGTAATTCTGCGAAGATACATGGCCATGTGGTGTGCTACCAGAAGGCTGGGCAGGTTCCTTTGATCAAAGCGCTGACAATCTCTCCAAAACGTGAGCAACACCAGCATGTCACTTGGCTTCTTCATGACAAGAAATTAGAACAAATCGAAAGACACGAGAACCTGGCAACATAAACCTAAGTATTGTTGATTGCACAGCGTCGTCCACATCAGTGAGTTCGAGTGTCACTGGCTCCCTTTTGCGTTGAAAAGAAAGAGCGAACCTGGTGTGAGAGTTTTAACACAACCCCTCTAGCCTTTCTTTTATGGCATTGGATTAGGCAGCGAGGATCATGTTGTAGGAGGAGATTGGAGCACTAGATCCAAAGGCCGCTAGAAATCAATCTGCCAGCGATTAGGCCGTGGAACAAACTAATTTACTCTCCACGTCTTACAGCTGACGATGCCACTCATGAAGAGCAGCACCTCCAAAAACTAAAGTAGCCTTCGTGCATTGATTTCTATTCGTGATGAAAACAAGGGGGACCATTCGCCAATCTTATTTGAAGCTCCTGTGCGGAGAGGAGCTAGCAGTCCAGGGTTGTAAACCTCGCGAAGAGCTCGCTTTGCAGCAGCCTCTTCATCTGCTCCAGCATCACCACAATCCGGCGCTCTCGCATCCCGCCCTGGGGCGTGGGAAGTAGCACCACCACCCCGTTGCCATACCACGGCTCCAGCACCATCGAGAAGTGGGCCGGCCGCCCCCACCCAAACTCGAACTCGTACACCGGGAACGAGTGCAAGTTGACGCTGTAGATCCCCATCCCGGTGCTGGGTGGCGGGACGTTGAGCCCGATATCATGGCCCTTGCGCAGCGTCTCCTCCATCCAGTCGATGGTGGACTGGATCCTCTCCTGGCCTACGTTGCGGACATCCTCGTGGAAGAGCCGCGCGGCGTGGGAGACGTGCTTGTTTTTGAGATCGCCCACGGCGCACGGCAGGCAGAGCGTGAAGGAGGAGGTGCCACAGTACTCGCTCGGCATCGGTGGCTGCCACCGGTTTCTGCCCACCTTGGTGGACACCGCGTAGATGTAAGTGTTGGTCACCGAGTCGTCGAAGTCACGGGCCTCGGTGAACGATCGTGGACACGGACTCTACGCGCACAACCATCTTTGCAACCAAAGATGAAATCCACAAAACACTCAAGAGAGGGAGAAAGAACACCACAAAAACTTTCGAAATACACTCACAAACTTCGATGATCCCACACGAGACGTTTCTTCCCGAAGATCCCACGAGAAGAACGTGCTTATCGCACATTGTCCTAGATTGACAGAAAAATATCATTCATTTTATAGGGCTGGGTGTTGCGATCCTTGTTGGGTCGCCTCGTGCGCCGACCGTCAGGAGCAGCAGCACTCTCCGCGAAGAGGATCCCAGCTCCAGGAAGCGACAGGAGACGGAGATTGTGAAGCCCTCGATTCACGCCTCGTCCAGCGCTCCAAACCCACGTCAAGCCGGCTAGATTCTGGAGGGCGCAGAGGAGCGGACAGCAGGTTTTCTTAGATTTGTTTTCCTTTTGTTCTTTTGATCGTGTGATTGTTTGATTCTTATTTCCTCTGTTTGACAGTTGTGCGCGGCCGGAGCTTTCAAATGCGTCACGGCTTCGTATTATCGTCTTTCCATTCATCCTCTCGTACACAATGCTCCATTTGGTCTCCCTGATCATGTGAACCAAGCACTCTTAATCACGGTTTGTCTTGTGGATCATAGCGTATAGACTGTGGTGATGGATGATCCTTGCGTTTTTCGCCTAGGTCCGGGGACTTGATGGCTAGCTATCTCTTTGTTGCGGCCAGCAGCCTCGCGAAGCTCTTGACTCAATCGCCATCAGAAGTTTCCAAGAGGCTTTGCATGAAAGTTTTCACTTGCATGTTTTATAGCGGGATTTGTTTTGTCATGACCATAAAACACGTCTTTCACTGCCGAGGCAACCTGATTTTTGCTCGTTCCTGCGCCTTTACGAGAATTGGTAGCATTCATTTCCTCGACTTGGTTGATTGATGATCGTCCCAAGTGACAAATGTTCCCCAAAGCGTCTTACTGCTTGAAGGATGTTCCCTCCTTAGAAGAAGGTAACGAAGAAGAACAATCCTCACCAGAAGCATTTCTCGAGTGAGTCACGTCATTCTTTTCTCTCGTTCGTAAGAATTGGCATTTCAACAGTGATATCTTATGGCACGTATGCCTGTAAGAATCCAGAAGAAGCAAAACCTTTTAACGAGCTCGCAGGGATTTGATAGGGCTGCACCCAAGCCGACTAAACAATCTCATGCAGGACATGCATGAATGCGTTGTAGCGCGTTCCTTAGTCGCGTATGCCGCGTTGATCATTCTAAAGCATAACTCTTAGCAGCTTAACACAAAGAAAAGCCCTAAACGAACTTACCTTACGAGGTGGAGAGGTGCGAGGCCGGTCAAGGATCAGCGACGGATCATTGAGGTTGGACCATTGACGTCTTCTGAAGATCGCAGGTGCCCAACGTTATTTCTCAGCGTTATTTCTCAGCTCGCGCTGAGCGCAGCATCCATGGAATTCGTTGAGCAAATTGTGCTCCACCTCATTTTCACGGTGCAAATAGCACAGTACCGTGACATCACAGAATTCATCTTGTAAACTTGGGTCCATTTCAATTTGCTTGAGAATCTGGCATTTTGCAATAATGAGCAGTGGAGGAGTAAAACTCCATACTTTTACAGTGGTCCTAGCTGGGAACTGCTTCTGACGATTTCATGCCAAAAAGCTTGTTTTTTGTTGTGGAAGTTTCATATAGACAAACGCGATCAAGCTCTTGTAAGACAGAACCAAGTTTACATCAGGACGTGAGCTACTTTTGCAAGATCTGGGACACCTATTCCCTTTCTTGAAATAAAAAGAAATTACAGAAAATTGCTAATAAATTACGAGAAAAGGGGCACTAAGACGCCAGTATACTGCTCTCTTTGCACCGTGAAAATCCCGTCCTTAGGGTGGAACACAATCCATCTAGTGGGAGTAAACCCCACACACTGCCCAATCCAGTACATGTTGTACGTGCTACAATACCACGCCTTGCCACCACCGTCATCCACAAAGGCATCATCTTTTTCACGTTGTGTACATGGGATACTTCATCCTGCTAGTCACTGCTGGTGCCACCATGTTGACAACTGGATTTGATTGATCAGGTGGTTGTTGCTACTGCTGAGGTAGTGGTGAACTTTGACAAGGTCCCCACTCTTCCTCCTTTGGCTGCTTTTCTGTTTTCCTTCGTAAGACAACTTCTACAGCCTTTTCTGCTTGTTCTTGTCATCATCTCTGGCTACGCATGCATAAGCTACTGCTCTGTGGCTGAAGTCTGGTCTTCTTCCCTCAGCTTCACTCCTTGTGAATGAAACCAGGAATCCCAGGTTTGACACTCCAAGAGATCTCAGTGGGGCCCCTGGAAAAGACCAGACCTGGTATAGCGTTTTTCCAGAGATTATTCAAGAAAAAGAGGATATTCGAAAGAGTCTGGTCGAAGTAGAAATTCCTTTGTCAGACGGTTTCCAAGCTCTCAAAGTTTAATCCATTTGAAGACACACTCACAAGCAAAAGTTGTGTTCGAGGAGGCAGTGGCAGGTGCTGCGACACCGGTGTTTGATCACGTGTGCCTTGTCCGAGAGCCCTGGCTAAACATCAAGGCCGTGAAGAACCGTGCTGTGTTCAAGGAAGACTGTGGGATGTTTAAGAAAATCATACACCATAATCCACAAGTAAAGATCTTTTTCTCGGAGTCATCGCCCTGTCGATTTCACAAAGTCCATGTCTCGGACAAGACGGAGAAGCGTGCTTGAATCGGCCGTTTAAGTACTACAACTTGGGTGTGAGTAAGTCTCGCTCGATTCACGTAATCTTTGGTGTTAAATCTCGTATCGATCCATCACATGGCGCTGTGCTTGCCCGAGTTTGCAAACACTCGAAGAAGAAAGTGGACTGTTTGAAAAAGAGGCTTAAAGCTTTGAAGACAGCACAGGTATTTTGGATTCATCAAGAACGTTGTCAGCTTTTCTTTCTCTTCCTCCACGCAAATGGATGCTCCTATTGTGGCGGCGCCATCGTATCAATTTTGTACTTCAATAAAGTCCATGCATTCATAAACATTACAAAATCCACTCACACAATTGTAACGAAGGCATGCTGACTCCTGAGGGTGACGTCGTTGCAAATTTACCTGGAATAGATCATTCACTGTCTGTTATAGAAAATTTGATTTGCAGCAATTGAGCATTCAAAACCAAAAACTAAATAAGCATTCAAAATCAGATCATGCCTTTGTATTGGATGATGAGAATTGGCTTATCTATCTATCTATTTTATAAGCAAAACCGTCATAGGAAGACAGAATAATTTTTTTCTACAACCACCTCCTCTCAGATCGAAGGCCTGCACTGATGCCAATGCATGAGGGATATCTCACCCTGGACATTCCTGGTGAGTTGTATCACTTCAAACTCCACACCATCCCACAATTATACTATTGATCAATCCAACCGTGGCCAGCCTTGATCGGCTTGGGATTTCACAAACTCAGCAAGAGCTTGAATATCTTGGTCACTAAGTCGGCTTGCGAATGTACATTGGCCTTGAGGTTTGCAGCCCTCTCCAAATCCCTGCGAGCTTGTTAGCTGAGGTTAAAAGGCTTCTCTGCTTCTATCGAATGGCTTCTTACAGGCATGCGTCCTTTGCCATAGTACGTGATTTTGACGATATCTTCCACTGTTGAGATGCCATTCCTGCGAATGAGAGAAAAGAATGACGAGAGTCACGCGAGAAATGCTTTTCCTACCGTTGGAGATCGTCCGCTCCAAGTGTGGCTCCCTGAAAGAAAAGTTCCCGTGAGTTTCAGATGGTCGTGCAAAGCGTCTTACTGCTTGAAGAATGTTCCCTCCTCGAGCATGGCAACCAATACATGATCTCTGGAACGTCTCAGCGCCTGTGCTAGCATCCGATTCTCCCACTAGAAGAAGATAAATCAGCCAAGTTGAGTAGAGAGAATGAATGTGTTACCAGAATTCGTAAAGGCGCAGGAAAGAGCAAAGACCAAAGCCATAGCGAAAGACCTGTTCGATGGTCATGGCAAAACAAATCCCGCTAGAAAGCATGCAGCATGAGAACGAGTAAAAACTTTCATGCAAAGCCGGGTTGGCTACTGTACATGAGCCCAAATATATACATACGCGCTTGTACTATACCTTGCGTGAGAATCCACAAAGTTTACCTCTTGGAAACGTCTGCTGACGATTGAGTCAAGAGCTTCGCCGAGAGGAGAGCTAACCCGACGCTGCTGGCCGCAAACAAAGAGATGGCCAGCCATCCAAGTCCCAGTACCTTGGCGAGAAAAGCAGGGATCATCCATCACCAAAGTCTATATGATCACAAGATCATACCGTAGTTGCCAGTGCTTGGTTCACATCGTCAGTGAGACCAAATGGAGCATTGTGTACGAGAGGATGAGTGGAAAGATGATCATACGAAGCCGTGACGCCTTTGAAAGCTCCGGCCGCGCACAGTGCTCCTAGAACCGAGCCTGTGATACTCTGTCACATAATCAAAAGAACAAATCTTAACAGGAGATGGCTATCGATCGTGTGTTACCTGCTGTGGAGTGGGCTTCTTGTAGGATTTGCCCCATCCCCTCTGCGGCCTCCAGAATCTAGCCGGCTTGACGTGGGGTTGGATGAGCTTGGGATTGAGGAGCTCGGCGCTGGAGGGGGCGTAGGGAATGCGATCGAAGCGCGGCCGCGAGGGCTCCACAATCTCCATCTCCTGTCGCTTCCTGGAGCTGGAATCCTCCTCGCGGAGAGTGCTGCTGCTCCTCACGGTCGGCGCACGAGGCGACCCAACAAGGATCGCCATCAAAGCCCTAAAATGGATGATATTTTTTGGCCTCTTTGTTTTTCTTTCTTGAGTCGATCGTTCTAGCTGCAGCCCTGCATTCTCTGCCTTTGCAACTTCCAGGGGGGCGTGAGATTCGCATATGGAAGTTCCGAAGAGCCCGGGGGCGATGCGGCTGGGAGGAGCGTAACTCGGCTAAGTCTCGCGATCCAGCAAATCAAGAAGATGAAGAAAGACAAGAGTGGTGTAAGCACTGAAAGGGCCGTGTTTGGAAAGTTCTAGCTCGAGGCTTTAAGCTTTGAAGATAGCACTAGAAACATATAACTGCCACTTCGTCCCAATGCCCCCATCTCCCATTACACAAAATTTTTGACGTGCACCGCCTTGGATTATGAATCAACGTCATAGTTTTCAAAGCATAGGAACACTTTCAACATTTGCTCACTTTCCATGGCATCACAACCACAGGAATGGATTTAGTGCGGCATCTGATTTACAAATAATACACCATAATCAGCAAGTAAGAAAGTTTAGCTCAAGGTTTTCCTGCAAATACAAACTTATAAATTCCAGACCCAGTACAGTAATGGTGAATTCTGTTGCTTGTGACATGGGACGAAGTGGTCCATGCTTTGATTGAGCGCATGGATCAATCCCAGTTACATGTTTATAGGCCTGTCTTCCAAACTTCGATAACTCTTTCTCCATACCTGGGTACCTTTAGTGGTCATTCGCAACCACACGACTTCCACCACCGTCGTCCCTCTCCTTGACGGTGAGGACGTTCTTCGCAAACTCGGGCAAGCACAGGGCGCTCGCGTGCAACTGGTGCATCGGCCAACGGGATAAAAAACGCGAGAAAATTACGTGAATCGAACGAGACTTACAGCCGAGTTGTAGTACTTGAGCGGGTGCTTCAAGCTCGCTCCTCCCAGCTGCATCGTCCCCAGCGCCTTGTCCGAGACAACGGGCTTTTCGAAATCGATCGCTTCCTTGGAGCACAGTACCAAGCCGATGACTCCACTGAAGTAAACGATCTTTAGCTTGTAGTGTGTGTTGTGTAACGAACCTCGGGTATGTTGGCACCGTCGTCCATGCGAATCTCACGCTCCCCTTGAACACTTGACGGCACACGTCTAGGTGGTTCTTCACGGTCTGGATGTTTAGCCAGGGGCTCTCGGACAAGGCACACATAACACCCCGGGGTCGCAGTGCCCGTGCCACTGCCTGATAGAAAGGAACTTCGAACAGTTCTTTCGCCGGTCCTGTAGGGTGTGTGTGTGTGTTTGGAAACAAGGTAAACTTCTAGAACAATACCATCTGGATCTGTTGAATCGATCAGGATCGCATCGTAAGTTTCCGGTGGAGCGTTCCTCACGAACGAGACCCCTGGAAAGGAGCTTTTTCAACAATTGGTACAAAGTGTAGCCATCAAAACCGACCGTCACCAATGTGAAGAGTGACCACAGGGTTGTCGAATCCACAGGCCAGCCCGGGAAAATACTCCTTGGCCACCTGTTTAAAATGGTGGGAAAGATTACACAAGGTTTTTTTAGGCTAACACGCTTACATCAATCACCATCTTGTCAAGCTCGCAGAGATCAATCCGCTCGATTGATGGGTACCTCGCGAGCTCCCTCAAAACTCCGCCATCGCCACCTCCCACGACCAGCACCTAGATTTAAGCTCGATCGGGAAACAGGCTTGTCCGATCTTTGCCAGGCAAAATTACCTTTGTGGGGTTTGATATGGAGCACAAGGGGAGGTGTGTGATCATCTCCTGATACGAGCATTCGTCTCTCTCCGATAGCTGGATGACGCCGTCCAGAACTAGGACCCGCCCATGAGATCTCGACTGCCACAAGAAAAGAAATCATAAAAGGGGGAGACTCTCTCTTTACTTGAAACCTCAAACACGAGAACATCCTGGAACTCGGACTTGCCCTGAAAAACGATCTTGTCCACTTGCAGTGACAGCGCTTCACCTGCGAGAATAAAAAATGCCCTCGCTCGTGGTTAGATAAGAGAAGCCAATGCGCATCACTCTTTTTCTTTTTTTTTTCTGGAGAGGACAGGATGCCAATTCATTAATCAAGTTTGTGCCATCACCTGGCCACATTCGGTTGATCTCCGAGAACCATCCAGCCATGATCTGTGACGACTTGTTGCTCGAGCTCACGCCGCCGTCCATCGCTCTCACGCTTGCTTCAAACGCCTCGAACTTTTAAGCCTTGACCCTCGTTTGCTACAGGCACTTAAATGCCTCTCCAGTAGAAATGGTCAGTACATTACACGCAGTGACAATATGCTACCTTCTCTGATACTCTGAGAACAAAATCTTTGGGAAAACTAGAGGAAAAAGAAAGCTTGCAAGAGTGATGCGAGTTTCTTTAGCTTTTTCAACGTACTTTCACATTTTGAAGGCCTGGTTGGAGATTCCAAAAACTAGCTATGGGATTAAATAACAAAAATTACAAAAGTATAATATTTCTTAAGGATACTATTAAATTGTTGGTGGCATTCCATTTTACATCTAGACATTGGCAGTTGGTCCAAAGTTATTGGTGGCATTTCATTGCCAACACCTTTGGTCCTTAACTACCCATGTGACTAAAATGGCCTATAGACATTGGTAGTTAGTCCAAAGTTGTTGGTGGCATTTCATTGTTAACACCTTTGGTCTTCAAGCCATTCACCACTACTTTTGTCACCAAAATGGCCCACTACCATGTAAGCTTCTAAATTTAAACTTTTTAGATTTTATGCATTATTCAAACCCAAAAATGCTTAATTTTAAATATTCCAGGACTTTTAATCAATTAGAAAAAGGTAAGTTTTTTCTCTTTATATTTAAACTTCATAAATTGTCTCTTAAGTCATTTTATTTGATTGTTTTATAATTCACCATACTTCCTTGTAAGTTAATGCCCTCGTGAACGGCAGCTGAAAGCTATAGCTCTCCTAAAAGACACGTTCTCATACTTCCTTGTACATAAATGCCCTCGTGAACGAAAGTTGAAAGCTATAACTCTCCTAAAAGCCTCATTCTCTTGATACCCTACCTCTCAAATCAATCCCAATTGGAGAAAATTGAACGTGCCAGATGTCAATTAACATGTGGTGCAATTCTTGGACCCAAGACCTCTCTGATACCAAATATAAATTTATGAATTTAGCTGTAAGAGACTAAATTTTCCATTCTACTTTAATCATTTAACCACACCACCGACCAATTAGAGGAGTCTCATTCATAACCTCTCTAAGTTCAATTCAGAACTTAGGGCTTGCTAGCCCTGAGAATGGCACTCAACCTTTGCATCTAATCCAAGTGCTTCACGTGTTTGATCCCACGACTAACACCCCAAAGTACCACTGACATATCAACCCATTACGCTAAGGTTATGCCTTTTCACCTTGGTCACACTGGTGGTCTAACACCACCTGTATCACAATCTTGTCTTTCAATATTAGGCCATCCATCCATGAGTGATCATCCTACTCCTTAGCATCTTTAGGATGCCCACAGACATGGGGAATAGCCTTCCCTAATATCCTTTTCTTGGTCCTCTCCAAGTCCCTTCTTGTCTATGGCCGTGTTTGCCAACACTGCCACTGGATCAAAGCCCACAGGCCTGACTATTAAGTCTTACAGTCCTCTGGGACTTCCTCACCACATGATTGTATCTTTGGTCACTATACTAGAGGATTGCACCTCTTCCTTTCTACAGTCTAGGCCTTTGGGACAACATTTTGAAACACCATGTCCCTACATAAGCCTTGTGGGTACTCTCCCTGCCTTATGCTTTTAGGTGCTTTAGCTATGGGCTTAGAGTGAGGTTCCGTTGAGCCACGCCAAGTATCCAAGTAGGTAATGCCACCCATGCTTGGACTAGGAGCACCTCTTCCTTTCTACATTCTAGGCCTTTGGGACAACATTTCGAAACACTATGGCCCTATATAAGCCTTGTGGGTACTCTCCCTGCCTTATGCCTTTAGGTGCTTTAGCTATGGGCTTAGAGTGAGGTTCCGTTGAGCCACGCCAAGTATCCAAGTAGGTAGTGCCACCCATGCTTGGACTAGGAGCATCAACCATTCGATCTCTTGAGGGGACTAAAGCTAGGTCTTGAACTCTTCACCAAGCTACCATGCTTGTTAGTCCATATTCATTGTAATTTTGGACTTCCCAGTGGTCAAGTCATCACCCAACAACTGGGTACAGCCTTCTTGGGCCAAATGTAAGCCTCTTGTTCATGGGCCCTTTCCCTCTATATTTGAACCCTATGGATCATCTCTCAAGTCGTTCCTTTTGGTTGCTTACAATCCACCACGCTTCCTTGCAAGTTCACGCCCTCGTGAACGGAAGCTGAGAGCCGCAGCTCTCCTGAGAGCCTTGCTCTCTTGACACCCTACCCCTCGAGTCGAGCCCAGCCGGAGCAAACTAGACTTGCCAGATGTCAATCAACATGTGGTACGATTCCCTTAGCCAACCGACAGAGTTGGACTCAAGACCTCTTTTATACCAAATGTAAGCTCCTGAGTTTGGACTTCCCGGGAGGTCACCCAGCCCAGTACTATTCAAATACAAGGACACTTAACCCCAAATATCCCAAGACCCTTAACCAATTGGAAAAGGGGGTGCACTCTTATTCATGGGCCCTTTCCCTCTATATTTAAACCCTATAGACCGTCTTTTGAGTCGTTATCTTTGGTTGCTTACAATCCACCATGCTTCCCTACAAGTTCACGCCCTCGTGAATGGAAGCTAAGAGCTGCAGCTCTCCCGAGAGCCCCGCTCTCTTGACATCCTACCCCTCGGGTCGAGCCCAGCGGGAATAAATTGGACCAGCCAGATGTCAATCAACATATGGTGTGATTCCCCTAGCCAACCAACAAAGTCGGACCCGAGACCTCTCTGATACCAAATGTAAGCTCCTGAGTTTGAACTTCCCGGGAGTCACCCAACCCAGTACTATTCAAACCTAATGACGCTTAACTCTAACTATCCCAAGACCTTTAACCGATTGAAAAAGGGGGGGCATTTTTGTTCAGGGGCCTTTTCCCTCTATATTTGAACCCCAGGGATCGTTTCTTAAGTTGTTCCCTTTGGTGGCTTACACCAAATTGGCCTTTCCTAGCCAAACTAATTCCATTGGGTTTTAACCCCCCACATTTTCCCTACTAAACTTTTGGAACCCCCCCCCCCCCCCCCCCCTTCTGAGGGACGATCGCTTTGGGCTTTCATCCAACTGCTTGTATTAGTATTTGGACTCGGACTTGGACTTGGACTTAATCTCAGTCCCGGTCTTGGACTCAGACTCAATCTCGGTCTCGGTCTTGGTCTCGGTTCCACCTCGGACTCCATCTTGGGTCCATCTCAAACTCCATCTCAGACTCTATCTTGGACTCCATCTCGGGTCCATCTCAAACTCCATCTCAGGTCCATCTTAGGCTCCATCTTGGGTCCATCTCGGACTCCATCTCGGACTCTACCTCGGACTCCATCTCGGACTCCATCTCAGACTCCATCTCGGACTCTATCTCGGGTCTATTTCGGACTCCATCTCAGACTCCATCTCGGGTCCATCTCAGACTCTATATTAGGTCCTCTTGTGTCCCTTTTCTAGAGACTCACTTATTGCTTGCTTTGTGCTCGTTCCTCGAGCACTTCATTGGGAGTTCCACTCCTGCTCTCAACCTTTCAAGTCGGAGTTTTTAGTCCAAACATATTATGCTCATTTGGCTTTCGCTTCGGCCACTACCATGTGGCACCCTGTCGGCTCCACTTTGGGGCTTAGGGATTTGGTGTCTCACAACTCCACCATCCATAGACGAAGTTTAATGTCCTCATTGAACGATAAACTATTTTATAAAGTAATACTAGCATGTATTACCCTTTCCATCCTTGGCACCTAGCCAATATTCGTCAATGGTTTGAGAAAGTAGATACTGGCTTAATCCAGGG